AGTGCTATAGCAAAAAAGCAAAAAAATCTGTACACTGCAAAAATATTTTACACTTATTGTGCATGGTGTATTGATTATGCTGTACATGGGCATGGTAATGAATTAATAATTTAAACATTATAAATAGAAAAGCAAAAAAATATACATTTTGGTTAATTTGCCTCAAGATATAATTGTCACTTTTGAAATACAAGGCATTGTGGATATTTCATTTATTTTAACTTTATACAGCCATTTTAGAATCATTTACAGTTCTGCTCATCATTCTGGATAGATCTAAAATATCTTGATTTATTTACTTATTTTTCAGCTTCACACTAATTATTTGTAAGTATATAAACTCGAGAAGTGACACAGCACACAATTATCTATACTATACATTTACATTATTGAAGACATTGCGGACTTTTGAACGGCAATGTGTCTCTCATGACGACACTTTCATTTTTACATAGACTCTTAAACAGAAACTGCATTTTAACAACACAGACCTGAAAGGTCTCCAAGCTAAGCTGACAGTACTAGATTATCAGCGATATTAGTTAAGTCAGTGCACTGACGGTGAAGCTACTGAGAGAGTGTGAAAGATTAAAAAGCTCCCGGTGTTGATGCGGTGAAGAATTCAACACCTGAGACTCACAGACACACAGGCCACACGCTATTACGACACCGTGACGTAAATAAACACTATATAAGCTCCTTAAACTGCACGTACTTACAATTTTTACACTTTATGTCCGACTTGACCGCTCCTTCAGCTGGGTGTTGGGTGTTTCCCCTGTAAGCTGGATGTTTTCTCTCTCCTTGAGGTGATCTTCTCTACAGGTCAGGTGTGTGCTCGGCTCTGCGACCTGCTCTCATTACAGCGCTCAGCTCCAGACTCCGAGCTCAGCTCTCTCGGCTTTCTCTGTTTAATCCACGTCGCGTCAGCGGTGTCTGTTCTTAGTTCGCATGTTTACTCCTGAGTTTCTCTCCGTAAAGGTTTTCAGCTCCTGAACTCGCTCACCGTCCTCCTGAGTTTCCTCAAAGTGGAGCTGCAGCTCCGCCCCTTCCGCCTCCCCACCTAGAGCACCTGCACAGCAGTCTTCACTGCACACACAGCGCTCAGCAGCTCACACTGCACTCTCCCCATAAACTCCCTTAGCAGCACATATTGTACTCTCCCCATAAGCCCCTCAGCAGCACACACTGCACTCTCCCCAAACCGCCTGAGCAGCACACACTGCACTCTCCCCAAACCCCCTCAGCAGCACACACTGCACTCTCCCCATAAACCGCCTTTATCAGACAGGCCTATCTGTCTGTCTATCTATCTACTGGATTGTTTGCATGTTTTCTATTCATTTATATATTGATCCTTTTTATTTATTTGTCTCTGTATTAATGTATGTATTTATTTGTGTATTTATCTGTTTATTTAGTTGTTTGTATGTTTGTATGTTTACTTAATTTAAATTTGATGAGACTGGGATTAAACAGGTGTAATTTAGGGACCATTTTGTTGGAGTCATACATACACATACATACACACACATACACACACTTACACATGCACACACAGCATCACTCCTTTACATTATGCTGAAACTTCCTATGACAAGGACAGAAGTGAAAAAAAGAGGTTTTGGTATTGTCACACGAGGCTTTTCCATTCACACTACGCGACCTGGTTAATCCAGTCTGACGAGACTTTGACAGTTTCAGCCTCTCGACACACACACACACACACACACACACACACACACACACTGTGCCTCGGACTTCCTGGTACGATATCAGCAGCCTTCCCACCCTCCTATGGAATTACAGCCTAAAAACTCTTGAAAGTATGACATAGACAAACATTTGCTACTTTTCACAGCTTGCAGGTTATCTCCTCATGCTTTAATGAAATACATGTCAAGCATTGAAGGCTATACTGGAGATTTCATTTTTAATGAAATGAAAAAGCTACACTTTGCAGTTATTTAGGCCTATTCTACAAAATCAGTACAAATGATAATTGTACAGAGTGGAAGAAAAACCCAGCATGTCTCACACTTCTACATCTTTTGTTGCCTCTTTTCATATAAATAAGCCCCTTTAAGCTTTTATTTCAGAGATTCAGTCTTGGAGGGCTGACATCCAACACAGTTCAGTGATCTCCCTGCTCAAATACACCTGATTCAACTCATGTGTTAATTGCCAGGTTTAGTAGGTGTGTTTGAGATGAACATCAGCGGAAGATGCTTCCTTCAGAAGCTACTCTGCAAGATCCATTTTTGATTAGCTTCAGTGCTTTGACATTCGGCTGAAGTATTCTTAGGTTCAGTGTTGTTCTCTTTGAGTATTTTTGCCATCTCATGTGCTACCTTCCATAATACACTTTCTTAATAACATGCATGAGCCAAAAATGTTCCCTCATTAACTATCAAACAGGACTTCCTGTTTAGTTATTACTGAGTCAGTAATCAAGTAATCTAAAGGAATGGTTCTTTTGTAAGCAGCTACTTTGGCATGATTTGTCCACAACATTGTTGAATCTTGACTGATGAGAATAGAAAATTAGGACTAGAGGTTAACCACATTATCTCCAGCAGAGAAATAAGTCATCTCAGAGTTTCGATATGTCTTCTAACTAGGCAAGTCCTGCTACAGAGTCTGAATCAGAATTGGGTTTTATTGGCCAAGTATGACTGCACATGCAAGGAATTTGTCTTTGGTTAGTAGCTCATGTTTACAGGGTAACTGAAATGTGTGAAACTGACAATAGAAGTACAACAATATACAATAAAATAAGAAGAATTAAGTGCGAAAACACTGTGTCAAGTAACACACCAATGGGCCTCATTCCCCAACCATTCTTAAGAAGAAATTTCTTCTTAAAATCCACTTACACAGTATTCACACACATTCACCATTGTTTTCTTATTTTGGATTTGTTCTACACACAATCAAAAGCACAAAGGTGCGAACAGTTCTGTGGTTTAAGAACACATCATGAATCTGACATAGACTTTTTCATAGAACTCTTTTTCAAGACCAAAATTTAGAACAAACTTCGGAAGATATTGGCAAATGAGGCCCAATGCTATGAAACTGTGTGAAACAACTGTTGAGAAGTGTACTGATGTGAGGGAAGAAACTTTTCTGGAGTCTGGTTGTTTGTCTGAAGCTCCTGTCTGAAGGAAGTGCTGAAACAGGCGATGACCTGGGTGTGAAGGGTGTGAAATGTGCGAATCAAGCAGGGTGGGTTGGTAGGTTGATACCAGTGGTCTTTTCTGCAGATCCAGTGTGATGGAGGTGATTGTCATTCCCGGAACTTGAAGAACTCAACAGTCTTGTTGAGGATGGTGAGTGTGTGTGTGTGAGAGAGAGAGAGACAGAGAGTAAGAGAGAAAGAGAGAAAAGAGTGCAAGCAAATATTCATATATCTCCAACATAAACACTGACAAAGCAGATATACATTTATGCAAATTATAAATAAGTCAAGCAAAATATGGTTATATTTTGCTCAGTAAATGCTCAGTTACAGAGTAAAAGCAATGGTCACTAGTTTAATGTCTGAACAGTATTATTATTATACAGTATAAACTATGTAATAGCACCATTTGTGAAAAAAAAATTCTGAATTTGAGTGCCAAGTCAATCAACATGTTTACCTTCTGTTGACACTCCTCCAGTGTGTTCTGGAGCAAATCTATCTTCCAATTACGTATCTGAACAGTGATATTTTTATTTCATTCTAACATGTTTAACGATAAAAAATACAATAAATAAGAGATGTACATAAACAAATTTGAAGTCATTTTTGTAAAGGCCTTAATGTTCACCATTTTTAGCACCATTCACACCCCTTTGTCTCCATTATAATCAAAGGGCTCGATTCTGATGTTCCAGACCCCCTGCCTTGTGCATTTTCACTCTAAAACACCTGAGTCAGCACATCAGCTAATTATCAAACCCTTTATGATCTGGATCAGCTATTTGGTGGCAGGGAATTCAAGAAACAACAAGGTTTTGTGCGGGCGTCCATAATATATTTACAGTATATAAACTCTATACAAGTGGTCCTCAAGGAGAGCAATAAAATAAAATAAAAATGCAGTAAATGAACTCATGAAGTAATTTACTGTTTAGAAATAAAATAACATATTTGTGTGTTGTAGACTCATTAAAATAAGATAAAATTAAACTTTGCTAAAATCACAGAGAGAAAATTTTGTAACATTTGCAACATTCCCCCAAAATCCACCTCAAAATAAAAAGATGTAAAATATATTTTTTTATGATTAGGAACCTCTGAAAAACAGTTTCAAACTGGGAAAAAACTTATTTCTTCAAAAAATCAATTCCTGGGTCTCTGAGGGTTAAGCCGAAGTCCTTATAAGAAAATGTGTTCGCTCAGTGGCCATCTTTGCAACGCCACCAGGCAGTTATTTCCAGCCATACTAGACCAGACTCCTCTCTCCTTGAATGGAGAGGGACGAACATTCTTGAAATTCCTTGTCAAATTACTGTTTCAATAACATATTTGAAATCACTGGCTAAATCTGACAAAAGACCTCATAAATAATTTGTAGCCTTTGGCTCAGTAATACACAAAAAACATATATTTTTTCTGGTTGTTCTGGGGCTTCTAGACGCCATGTTGAGTGTTACGAGCTTTCCCATTCATATTTCAACCAGTTCTCCTCCTTCATAACCGTTCTCTCCAGTGCTGCTACACCGATGTTCACTATCATCTTTGCACTAGGTCGTTCATATGTTTCCTTTTCAATTATGTTCATGAGTGTAATGAAGTAGATACATCTTCCTGTCCTGAGTGACTGACAGACTGCGGCCCACTTCATTAGTATTTTCTCCTGTTCACAGAACTCTTCCTTTGAGCGTATATTGTATTAACAACTGACTTGAAAAAAAAAATCAGCGACTCCGCCTTTAATTCTAGCGGTTTGGAACACGCCCCCTAAGCGCTCTAGTTAGCTCACTAGGCCGCAGATTGGAGCGCAGCCGCTTTTCTGCTCCGGCCGCGGGAGTTGTGCTGACGCCGACAGCAGAGGCGTCATGCCTTCGCCGAAAGAAAGCGACGGAGCTCATTGATTAGGGTTGGAATCTTCGAGCTGCCAAATGTGCAAAATCCCTTAAACACTCAGTAAACCGTCTACAGACCCTCTGTCCACTGAAACTGATATAAAGCTGCAGGCGGACGGTGAGTGTTTTGTCGACATAAATGTAGAAAACGAGAGACGGCACGGCGTGCTAACCAGAGTGTGTTCAGATAGCTAACCTGTCTAGCTGGCTAATTTGCACGCTTTATTAACATCACACAGCAAATTGAATTCTAACGTGGATCGTGTCAGCAGTCTCTACAGTACTGTGACATGCACGACAAACGGACAAGAACCGAAAATAAGAGATATCTTAACGGGTAGAGACAGAGGTAGCAGGCTGTGTTTATAAACATGCTGCTCGCTGTGGCTAAATGCTACGTTAGCTGGTTGGGAAAACGGGAGTGATTTTCGGTGCGGTGCTAGCTTAGCTGAGGGGTTTTGTTTGTGCAGAGAGCCACAGTTGTATTTTCCACACCACCCGCTTTAAAATATTCAACTTGTTGAAATTTGTACGGGTAAAATTTGTATTCAGCTGGCAACGTTGTGTTTTATCACAGAATACTCCGATTAATTTTGATTAGCTATATTTATGTCGAGATCAGTGATAAAGATACATATGCGTTGTGTGTTTTTAATAATCATCATTCTGAAACTTTGCTCTGGTTTGTTCCGAAATGAAGAGCTGTTTTTTTTAAAACAAATGGTTCCTGGAAATTTCCACATATTTTACATATAACTAATGTTGATGTAATGATCATGTTTTGCTTGAATTTGCTTCAAATAGCAAAATCCCTCTTAACTGCTTGTTTATTACTCTGCACACATCTGGGAGTCCAGTTTCCTATCTGGAACCACTGATGTTTTGGTTTAAAAGAAAAATCACTACAGCAGGGTTCAGCAATTTCGGGCCAGTTTCCAGCACAGTTTGGTGATTTCCTTGCTCAAACGCATCTTATTCTCCTGATCGGATTTATCAGTTGTATTGAAGAAGGGAAATCAGAAAACTGTGTTGGACACAGCCCTCCAGAACCAGAACTGAAGCACTAAAGGCTCTTAGTATAAAACATGTACATCTCATGATCATGTGTGCTTTTCCAGACGGCGAGCTGGCGCAGGTAGCAGGGTGCCCGTGGACCATGAGAGACAGCGGGGCAAGCCTGGCTCATAACCGCTGGCAGGGCGAGCTCTCGCTGACTGTGAGCCACGAGGGCACTCCTGGAGGAATGGCAAGAGGGCATCTGTTGAGCCCTGATTCTCCTCACAATACTCAAAGCCCCATGCACTTAAAACTGAGCCAGAAGGAGCAGGTCTGGACTGGAGAGTACATTGAGCCAGACGAAATAGATGATGAAGACGAAGTGGAGGAAGAGGAGGATGAGGAAATAGAAGATGAACAGATGGATGAAGGTGAAGAGATCAATTCTGAATGTGCGCCGTTAGAAGAGGAGGAAGGAGTAGAGGACTGGCATGCCCCACATGAATCACAGTTACGAGAACAGCAATGCCAGAACCTGTCTCTGTCAGATAAGGAGCAGGCCAAACTTGAAGCCAGAGACTTACCTGAGAGCCCTCTACGGGTTCGTCTTCGAGGGCTCAGGCAGCAGAGGCTAAAGCGATGGAAGAGGCTTCGTGCCTGCATGGGGCTGCGCTTCCGGCTCGCACACAACTGGAAGACATGGCGGCAGCGTGCACAGTGGGTGGGCACGCTCGGGCACAGGCGGGCGAGGCGGTGGCGCCAGTATAGTCTTTATGCAAGCAGGCAGAGACGGGATCCTGGCCCAAGCAGCTCAAGATTAGTAGTTCAGAACGCACCTAGAAATGAGACAGGTAAGACTTGCCAGGGTTGACTGAACCAGTAACTCGCTTAAAATTAACGGTAATAAACTGGTTATTGGCTTAAATGTACTGCTGTAGGAAATCGGTCTTGCATGTCTTAACATCATGTGATCAATTCCACTAGGGTTATTTAGGGAACTAAAAGTGCTTTTTCCATCGTATCACTCCAAAGAACCGTTTTTTGAGCTCCCTGTTTTTATGAGTGTTATCATTTATGGAAGCACAGTAGTGGTCAACAGGGGACTTTGATAGAAAATTGTAAGCAGATGACATTGTTCACTTTGTCACATTTGATATCCTCATGAAATCCTCATGTACTCTCTTTTGACCTCAGAAGCTCCGTTTGGTGACTTGAACGGTTATCATGGCATTTCACAGTCCAGCTCAGCAATCTGTGCTGGGAAAACTGAAGGGTGGAATTTTTCCTCAATGCTTGAGAAACCGACCAAGCAGAAGGTGGAGGTGGCCCTCACTGAAGAGCATGTGTCCTGTGTCCAAGGTAACCGCTTCTATAGACTCTTACCTGTAGTTAAAGGAATGGTTTGGCAGAAAGTCAGATATACCCAAAGTTTGTCCAGTTTCCCCAGATATAGTCAATCTGCCAAGGCATGTTTGGTGTCCGTATTTTGTTTCTTTAGTTTAGAACTGGTGCTACAAGGCTAACAAACACTAGACGTCAATAGTCATGTAAATCTTTTCCGTAAATTCATCCCCAAAACTTCTCTCAAAGCGCATCCAAGGTATGAAGCTTCTCAGCATGTAATTGCTGGTCTAGGATCTGCCTTCAGTGAAGTCATGGAAAATAGGAGAGGAATCTGATCTTGGATCAGAACTCCTATTCTGAGAAGCTTTGTGAATCCAGACTCAGGTCTTCATTAAGGTCATGCAGACTTGTGGTTTAGATCACAGCATGATTTATGAACAAAATGTTATTGCGTCGCTAAATGCTGCGGGCTGCTTTTAAACAGTTTTGTACCAGATTTCACTTCAAATCTCACCTTTTTGTAGAATCAGACAGCCCTTCACACGCGCACACAGTATGCAGGTTTAGGATGCTAGATTGCTTTTATCTGTACATCTGCAGTGTGAGAAGTCAAAATTAAACATTTATTAATAAAAAAAATGACAGAAATAGCTACTCTGCAGCATCCATATATCTGCATGACCTTGTGCAGACAAGGAGCAGGTTATGTGCAGTAATTAGGCACAGCATCTGTTGTGTAAAACGGCTGCCTTCAGTGTTCAGGTAAATGTTGAAGTTTTGTTCACAGTAAGTAACACTGTCTCCCAAACCACATCAACAAGAAGTAAAATTTGAGCATCAAACATGTCTTAGCTGACCAACTGCATTTGGAGTAAATGGAAAATTATGTAATTTGGATTTTTGCCAAACCATTCCTTTTTAAAGCCCCAGAAATTTTCAGAATAGATGTTTCAGAAGAACTAAGTTGCAGCTAGGTTATAGCCCTGTCACTGAAAAAAGTTGACTTGGTGCACTTCCCAGATTTGAAAAGTTACACTTTAGACTCTGCATGCAAGAACCAAAATGTGGAAACATTTTATAATTATAAGTCTATAAACTTAATTTGATATCTATTTCATATTTTATATGTATTTTATATAAATTTCACTTGGACCAGAAAAGCATTATAAATTCTTGCATGAGGCCCTGATGTTACAGCTTACCTACACAAAGTAACAGTTCAGTAAACATTTGTTTATCTTTCAGGCATTTTGGACGAGTCTCTCCATAAGTATGGCAGTCTAATCCCTATACATGCTGATGACATTGTAGAGCAACTGCAAGAGATTTTCAATGAGAATTTCTCCCAGCCTCACAGGTATGTTCTTTAGAATATATGTTAAATAGTCTTGTGTACTTGTTTATTTAGTGTGTTACGTTGAAGTTTGTTCTTGCTGTGATCAGTAGTGAAAAGTTGCACTCATAACAAATACACATACTAACATACAGATATATTTAGTGAATTAGAATTTAATGTTACAGTTTTATTTCACCCTCTGCTCTGTTTTTGCACATACGTTTTACAAAAATGGTTTTGTGATTGGGTCTTTCAGGAAGGCAGAAGTGCAGCAGATAATCCAGTCCTACCAGCGGTCGCCAGGAACAAGCATGTTACGAGGGTTCAGTGTAAACTACAAGCGTCATGTCCTCACTATGGATGATCTTAGCACCCTGTATGGACAGAACTGGCTCAATGACCAGGTAAAGTATAGTACATTCTAATTAATCAGTTGGTGTAGTATTGTGTATTACTGTGAACTCCTGTACAATCCTTCTCCTTCTCAGTCCTACCTGATATCTATTGTGTATTTATTTATCTCTCTCTCTCCGCAGGTCATGAACATGTATGGAGACCTTGTAATGGATTCAGTGCCTGACAAGGTGATATGAAGATTACTTCTGGCTTTAAGGCTAGCTTTCAGTGTGAATGTAATATCAGTATTAATATAATGTATGAATGTAATGTAATGGTCTAAATGTGTGTTAATCCACGTGTCCTAGGTTCACTTCTTCAACAGCTTCTTTTATGACAAGCTGAGAACTAAAGGTTATGATGGTGTGAAACGGTGGACAAAAAATGTAAGACTTTTCCTCTAATCTCACCGCCCATAGGACTGTTCACATAGAGCGAGCTATGAATGTTAGAAAATGATTTGAGTTGATCCAGCTAGTATATCAATGAGCTTCATGAGGGACTGAACAAGTATTGGGGCATTTATTTTCAAAGTTTGCCTTTTTTTGAAGATACAGGCTGAAGTCCTTGTGAACAAATGTGTGAACTTCAATTTGATCACCATCTCATGCTTGTGTGTGTATGTATCATTCATCCAGCTTCTCTGCACATTCTGATTCAGGTTGACATCTTCAGCAAGGACCTACTCTTGATTCCCATTCATCTGGAAGTGCATTGGTCACTAGTATCAGTGGACATCAAGCAGCGTTCCATCACATACTTTGACTCCCAACGAACTCTAAACCGTCGTTGTCCCAAGGTCAGAACGTCTTGTGGTTACGTATATCAGAAATGTATTGGTTTTCTCCCAACCTCATGTATTTAGAATAAATTGGCCTTTAACTTGCATGTGGTTCAAAACTACAGTCCTCTAAAAAACCAACTTCTTTCTCCCTTTCTCCTTGCAGCACATTTTTAAGTACCTCCAGGCAGAAGCTATCATAAAGCAGCAGAGGGATTTCCTCACAGGGTGGAGAGGCTTTTTCAAAATGGTGAGTCAGTCATTTAAGACTTGACCACTGACCACAAATTGCGACTTAAGGAAATTATGGATGGACTGTACTTAAGCTGCTTTGTGTTTATTTTTGTATAAAGCAGTTTGTGTACTGTGTGTCAGGTCAGCTAATAGAATTCTGAGCGTGCTGAATGCTGTGTCTGTGCAAAGTCGTTATTGTTGTATAGGAAACATTTACTTTTACAATGGTGTTATTTTTTTAACAGTTTTTTAACAATTTTTACGTGTTACTAGAAAGTTTGGCACTTAAGCATTTTCCTTTGTCCATAGAGAAGAATATGTAAGGCTCAACTGTTCCTAGTTGCTAGCCTGTATCCACCCCACTATAATGTTAACTCACTAAATGTCCAGACGTTTGTAAACACATGCTCATCCCACTTTTCTTCTGAAATGAGGGATGTTTATAGGGAGCTTGCTTGAACAACCTCTGCTCTTCTGGGAAGATTGTACAGTAGATGTTGGAACATTGCTGTGAGGATTTGATTGCATTCATCCACAAGACCCTTAGTGAGGTCAGGTACTGATGTTGGATGATTAGTTCTGGATAACAGACATCACTCTAACTCATCGTAGAGGTATTGGGTGGCACTACATCACTCCAAAGAATGCAGGTCCAGTGCTCCACAGCAAAATGCTGGGTGCTTTATATCCTGTAGGTGACGCTCAGCATTGGCCGTGCTTATCTATGGAGATTATACAAACTGTATGTGTGCAGTTGGTGCGCCTAGAAGTAGATGAATTCACTAATTAGAAGGGGTGTCTGGATAGTCTAGCCACAAGAAGCCCCTATGCCTTTTATGACCACCCCTGATGATAATGTAAATTTCATAAGTCAGTTTGTAGAGGTTATTTAAATGTATTGACTTTCTGAAGGTTTGTGTTTGTAAACTAACAGAGGTTGTATTTGTGTTTCAGAATGTAGGGAGGCAGAATAATGACAGTGACTGCGGGGCATTTGTCCTTCAGGTGAGCCAGTTTTTGCTATTGGGACATGTATGATTTTGCACAGTTATTAATGTCACTCCTAAAAGAATGATTGAAGGTTCTAATACATCAAAGAATAAAACAGTAATAAATACAACCAGGAGAATAACTACACTGACTAATAATATACTGACCAAAATCATAAATGCAACACTTGCTTTTGCTCCCATTTTGCAAACCCAGGATGTTTTTCCTAGACATGTCACATTGCTACAGGCAAATGGTCGTCACACCAGATACTAATGTGAGAATTCTGTTTCAGGACTTACCCTGTTTTTTTGCAGGATTTCAGTAAAAAGTGTTGCATTTATATTTTTGTTCAGTATAATTAACCCACTCTTTTAATCTGTCTTTTTTTTGTTGTAGTACTGCAAGTGTCTGGCATTGGGACTGCCCTTTAGCTTCAGTCAGCAGGACATGCCTAGACTGAGGAGACTCATGTACAAAGAGCTTTGTCACTGCAAGCTCTCACTGTGATACCTAATGGCAGTGCAAAAAGTGGATGGTTGAAAAAACATGTGGAAACTCCCATCTGTGCAAAGACAGGACATTGCTGGACATTGCGTTTTCAAACCCACTTTTTCATTTTTGTTTTGTATCAGTGTTACTTTCTTGTGTTTGTCAGAGGCCAATGTCTTTTCTAACGGCTACTTTATTGAAATGTGGCATTTTGATGGGAGCCATTTTGAACTCTTGGCTTCCACAGTGTTTTTCTATGATTTTTCTCTCCATCTGTAAAGGTGTTAATGCTTTTATTAAGCGTGGGAAGTGTCATGTTACTCAAATGTGCAAGCGTAATCATGTTTCACTCTTATTTTTCAATAAATCATGCCTTATGAAAACCGATGAGTGGGTTTGGTCAGATAACTGTTGGCAACGTAGTTATTCTGTCGGCCGAACATGTTCAGTTATTTTTTTGGTTGCTGCTTCTTCAGTCTTCTCTGGTAATAATTTGGCATGATCTCTTAATGGATTCTTTAACAATGTAACGGGAAAGTGGCACAGTGTAAGTTTGTGTCCTTTAATACATGTTCCTGGCTGGTAGTGTCATTCTCACACAAACAGCCACAATGTTCTCACCTGTCAAAATCCTTTTATGTATCTTGTTTTAATGCTTACATTTCCTTTAGTACAATCTGCCACAAATGTGTTTTATACTTTTTATTATAGTGGTTTGCCATTTCAACAGAGGCTTGTTGAAGTATCATTATCGCAAAGTATGAGTGGTGCATTAACGTTTTGCCATGACCTGACAAATAATTACAAGTTGGTCAGAGTGCCTGAACATAGGTTTTCCCTTTTGATATTAAATTCTGATGATCTCAGTTATATTAATATAGATGATGATGTGGCTTGAGAAACTATATGAAACAGTATTCACATAAATTCTGAAACTCATCATTATATATCATAATATTTGGGTACAAGGAAACATTGGGGTTCTGATTTACTCAGAATAACTGATATAATTATGGAGTTCTATAAGTACTTTATAAAACCATATTACAGTTATGAAACGAGCGAGGTTTTGATTTACTGCGCATGTGACTAACACTGTCCTGACGTCAAACGTAAGGCGGGCGGTGTCTTTGCGTAGTGACGTGTTTGCTTCAGCCTATGAGGTGTCAGAATGGCGAGCCTTGTGTTTGATCGATGGGACTCCTGACCAATCAAAAGCGCCCAGTCCGCTTCGCTTCGGCGTATTTAGCACATTTCCGCCGTTGTGCTGTTCTTTGTGATAATGTCGGCTGAACATGAGGACAGGTAAGTGAAGCTTACCGTAGCATGAGGGCTAATAAGGCTTTACGGGTAACATTAAAGCGATCATGTGGTGTATATGTGTATGGTTAGTTACCAGTGCGGTTTCGGGAACGTTTCTAGCCCGTAGCTACAACGTTAATCCTTCACTAAAAGACTAAGTCGGGCTGTCTGAAACGGCGTGGCTCGTTAAAACGGTCTTGGTCGTATATAAGAAGTCAAAGGAGGTCCGCTTTAAATGAAGTGAACAGGCTAGTTTCCGTGTATTTAGTCCAATATCGAGCGTTCAGACACGCGTGGATTGTGTTTTTGTCTCTTTTCCTGGCGATCTGTTAAGATTTGCCGGCTCCTGTGAAACAACGTGACTGAGGTCGTTAGCTGTTAGCCGCAGTAGCGCTGGTTAGCTGGTTGCCGGCTCTCGGGCCGCACATGGCGCTGCTGCTTCCTCTGTTCCGCAGTGCTTTAAAACACCGCTCGTTTTCAGTTTATAGCTTTAATACACCAGATTGCACTTTAGAAATATCCGAACAGTCTGAATTTGTCGTCGGTGAGCGGTATTTGTGGCCGTGTGTGAAGCCGTGTCGAGGAGACCGAGCGGAGCACATGGCCTGCGGTCTGGACAATGGAGAGATCCGCTGTGGAGCGGTAGGCCACAGCCGGCCTGGCCTGCAGCGGGGTTAGTAGAGACCGGAGTAACGGTAGATTTAAAACATCCCCAAAATGCTGTTCGGCTCCGAGTCCAGCTGCTCATTAGTCACATTAATCCCCGTTTTCAAACGGTTGTCGCCTGATTAGCGAGCTAATCTAGCTAGCTAGATGGTTATCTCCGGGTTAGCTAAGTTAATAACTTGGTTTATACACCTTCCTTCATGTTTAAAGGTTTTTTATGTGTCCTTTATCTGATGTCCTTATCGCCGTCTCTGTCGGTCTCTCGTGTCTGAGTGTGGTTTAATCGATGTCCTCGCCCAGCTAGACTCCCTAAAACGCGAGGGCAAAGATGGCGCCCTCCAAAGCCTTTTTCACAGAAAACTGCGACGTGTCTGGCTGTGTCCGCTCCCCTCCATCTTAATTCTTATGGCCACATCTTTTTGATGCGCTCTAATCCACTGACAACACGAATACCTTATTTTATATACATATATTTTTTTACTATTGACACATTGTTGAGCTTGTGTAGACGAATGGCTGAAAATGCGTTAAAAATTAGTTTTAAAAGGAATTCCTCACAATTGTCCTTCAGGGTTTGAAATGTGTAGAAACTGGGTCTCTCTTTGTTAGCCATCACAAGGTTCTGCACTAATGATGGGTTAATGTCCTTTCAGACCTAGAGACAATGGCCCCGAGGGCATGGAGCCAGATGGAATCATTGAGGTGGGTGTTTTGATGTTGAAACACGTTGTCATGAGTCTTCTGTCTGTCGGTGCTCACTGTAATGTTTGTCTTCTGTCCAAGTATTGTGCAACTATTTATAAGAAACCTCTAGCAAGAGGATGACCTTAACACTTACTGTGCTCCGCAGGGCAACTGGAAGGAAGTTGTTGATAGTTTTGATGACATGAACCTCCGTGAGAATCTTCTCAGAGGAATCTATGCCTATGGTTTTGAGAAACCTTCTGCTATTCAACAGAGGGCCATTCTCCCTTGTATCAGGGGTATGTATCTTTTCTCTTTTTTGATCTGCTGTATTCACCTGTACTTTGTTTGGAAAGGTTCATTCCTTTTTTTTTCCCAGTTGATTAATTGTGGTATTTAACACAGCGTAGCTGATGCACTGTTTCACAATGTTAATGGGGCACACCTTCACGATTTGAGCTCTAGTCTTGGGCTTTGAGCTCTCATCAGAGTAGTGCCATTCTGCCACCCTTACCAACTGGGCAAGGTGGTGCCTGCTAGTGGCAGATTCCTATATCTGGTAGGGGAAAAGCAAATGCAGCCCATATTCATCCCAGTCTACTCAGCACCATGAGCACAAGACTGTTTCATGCTATGGGCACAGTTGATGCACTGTTTCTGGATCTTTTATTTTGGGACGCCTGTCGGGTTTGATCTGGTAGAATGTCCCAATAATTTTAACCCTTTGTTTGTAGGATATGATGTCATTGCACAGGCTCAGTCTGGCACGGGGAAGACTGCCACCTTTGCCATCTCAATCCTGCAGCAGATTGACATTGAGATGAAAGCAACGCAGGCTATGGTCCTGGCCCCCACCAGAGAGCTAGCCCAACAAGTAAGATCCACTACATGTTCTGTTCCAGAGATATACATACACACACACACACACACACACACACACACACACACACACACACACACACACAGCAGCAGCAAAGGATGTGCAGAGAGACATGATTGTCAAGAATAGTTACATGTGTAGCTTTGGGTTTGTAATAGCTGTATTAATTCCCTTACCAACTGGGCAAGTTAGTGTCTCAGTGGCACGTAGTCCTGTATTTCATAGGGGAATAGGAAACGCAGCCCATGTTCATCCCGGTCTACTCAGTGTGATGAGTTGAAGGTTGTTTCATTCTGTGGTTGCATTTTCAGTGTTACTCATCACTGAACTGGGATATGAAATTTTACAAGACATAGTGTTGAAGGTTTACTCAACTTGCTGATTCAGTGTTGACTAAACTGTTTCTCTGGAAACACCTTGTGGGTTAAAATTTGACTTGTTCAGAAAAGCAGGCTCTATTGTTTAACCTATGACTTATCTCTCTGCTCCATCTTAGATCCAGAAGGTGGTCCTGGCTCTTGGAGACTACATGGGCGCCACCTGCCATGCCTGTATCGGTGGGACTAATGTCCGTAATGAAGTACAGAAGCTGCAGGCAGATGTGCCACACATCGTGGTGGGAACCCCTGGGCGGGTCTTTGATATGCTCAACCGACGGTATCTCTGTAAGCACCAATGTGATCTTTTAACATTGTGACAGGTGTTGTAGGACTTAAATGCTGTAATGATGATCCCCATGCGTGTCAACTGACTCCAGAGTGCCCTGTGCTCCCTGGCCACTCCCCAGTGTTCTGCTGGGTGTGCGCTCAGGGCCACAGGTCTCTGTAGGCATGATCAGACCTCACTGACCTGAATGCAGCTTTGCCCCTTGTTCATAATACACATTTAGCACTGTGTAAAACCTATGAGTCTATTTCTTTAGTTGAACCGCACAATACTCTAAGTTCAGTATTGATAGTACATTCCTTTAGTATACTACTTGGCATGAATTTTGAAGGTGTAAACATGTTGGTTTGTTTTATGTACCATTTTCTTTATCAGCTCCCCGAAACATAAAGGTGTTTGTGCTGGATGAGGCTGATGAGATGTTGAGCCGAGGATTCAAGGATCAAATCTATGAGATTTTCCAGAAGCTGTCTTCTGAGATTCAGGTAAAGCTTTTCCTACTCTTGCAAGTGGGTGTACTAACGCCTCGCACCCCAGATGGTTTATTAATTCACGTAAACTAGTCACAATACATAAGAAATCCAGTAATTGGAAGCATAACAGTCTTGGCCAAAGTTCCCTCTCCCCCCAGCTTTCTGTGCTGTGGAAGGAATCAAGTTCTTTGGTAGAGAATTCTTGCTGCTCTCCACAGTGATGGGTTTCCCTGTACCTCAGCACAACTATAAAGCAGTAGACATGTACAATATAATGTCTTGAATGTTGTAGAGCAGTGATTCTCAACAGTCCACATTTTTACTCTATTCCTCTGATTGGTAGGAGCAAAAATGTGGACTGGGGACATGAGGACTGGTTTGAGAACAACTGGTCAAGCTGATGCAGTTGCAGTAAAAGCACTGTCTTGGACATCTATCTTCCTACAGGTCATTCTCCTGTCAGCCACCATGCCCCAGGAGGTGCTTGATGTCACCTCCAAGTTTATGCGGGAACCTGTGAGGATCTTGGTCAAGAAAGAGGAGCTGACCCTGGAGGGTATTCGTCAGTTCTACATTAATGTGGAGAAGGAGGTGAGAGAGCATTTCTCCTTTTACTTGTCTGCGTGACTTTTACTCTCTGGATGTCTAGCTAAGTACTCTGAACATGGTTTCAAACCAGTAGCTGGCTGACAGCTGGTTAGTGTGAATAGGATTGATGCTGTGTTGTAATAATGAGTGTCAGCTGATGCCAAATCTTTCTGAAGTACTTAGTTGCTGGCCAGTGTTCTGGTAGCCACTGTCATCAAGCCAATACGTCTGTCTTCGTGATCAGTGTCTAAGGCTGTAAATAGCACCATCTTGTGGCTGTTCCTTGCCAGTATGGCTGTTAATGATTTTACAGTAAGTCTTCAATGCTAGACCTTGAATTTCTTTTCCAGTCCTGCCTTTTCATCACTGTGGTCATACATGTTATACCTACAAGTGACTTACAAAATTCAGGATTAAATTATAAATTAAAAGTTCAGAATAGCACCACCGAACCGTGTTGCTGGCTGTATCTATCATGGGGCAGTATTCATTCCTTCTTAAGTTGTTGACCAGTAGTTGGATGACATGGCAAAATATACATCATCTCCCTTTGCCCCTGACAGGAATGGAAGCTGGACACTCTGTGTGATCTGTACGAGACTTTGACCATCACACAGGCTGTCATCTTCATCAATACACGCCGGAAGGTGGATTGGCTGACGGAGAAGATGCATGCTAGAGACTTTACAGTCTCTGCTTTGGTGAGTTAGCTATGTAAATTTCAGGTGGGGTAATGCAGCATCAACTCTGTAGCACTTGGCTACAGTCCTCTTTCTACCCTTACCAACTGGGCAAGGTGGTGTCTGTCAGTGACACAAAGTCCTATATCTGGTAGGGGAAGAGAATTGTGAATAGCCCATATTCATCCCAGTCTACTCAGTGCTATGAGCGTAAGACTGTTTCATGCTATGGGCACAAGACTCTTAACAGTAAAGAACTTGGGAAGTCCTTAGCAGAAGATTGAGTTAATCAGACTAACTTTCCTTGGATTGCAGCATGGTGACATGGACCAGAAGGAGAGGGACTTGATCATGAAGGAATTTCGCTCTGGCTCTAGTCGTGTGCTCATCACCACTGATCTGCTGGTGAGTTATTTTTTTAAGAAAAGCCAATTTAGAAGTTAACTTATTCATGTACACTTGTTAATCTGTGTGTTCCTCCTTTAGGCTCGAGGCATTGATGTGCAGCAGGTTTCCTTGGTGATCAACTATGACCTTCCTACTAACAGGGAGAATTATATCCACAGGCAAGTACCTCCTTTTGGCTCTGATGTGGGGTGGACAGTAAGGCAAAAAATAACACGAAGTCTTTCAAGCTACACAATATGCATTAGTTTTTCTGGTTTGGTTCTATATAGCAGAAAGTTCTGCTATTGTTACAATGTCAAGCTTGTAACAGAATTCATTTTGGTGCAGTTTAGAACCATTTTTCAAAAAGGTTGCATATAGAATCATAAATTTTCCATCCGTCTGGAGAATCATTTCACCATGCAGAGAACCATTTAAGCATGTAAATGGGTGTTGTGTTCAGTGCAGTTTATGCGGTTACTATTCTGTAGTTGGCAGGCCTACTGTAAAGCTCTAGATCAGTGTTTGATATATGCAGTTCAGTGTTGAAAAACTATCAGTACTCAACACTGTACCATGACACAATTTATAATAAAAATATTATGTAATCATCCTTTTCTTTGGCTTCATCATTTGTTCTATATTGATGTACTTTGTTTAGGATTGGGCGTGGTGGCCGTTTTGGCAGAAAAGGCGTTGCCATCAACATGGTGACGGAAGATGACAAGCGCACGCTCCGGGACATTGAGACCTTCTACAACACCACTGTGGAGGAGATGCCCATGAATGTGGCTGACTTGATCTAGAACTCTTCCCACTCCTTCACTCTGCATTCCTTTAGCTCCTATTTTTGGACTCATTCCTACTCCCCTTGCTCTGTAATTCCACTGGCTAACACCCAGAGATCATTACTCTATCGCTGTTCAAAGCAAAACATGATAATTTGCATTGTATTTTTGAAAACTTGGTGTTCTTAGGATTTATGATTGGAGTGAGCCTTGCACATTCAAGTTGATCTTTAAACGAGGTGTGCCATCTGTAATTTTAAAGTGAGTCGTGCAGGGCATGTTTTTTTTTTCTGTCATCTGAAGAGCTTGGCACCAAATGGCTGTATTGGACATTGTTTTGCCATTTTGCCACAAGTTATGGTTGCTCTAATAGTCTCTTATTGTTATCATGTTTACATAGGGTGTCGGTGGCACAGTCCTATATCTGGTGGAGCCCATCTCACTCAGCTGGGTGTTCAGATATGAATCCGTAATGTATTCCCAGTATTAACTCTGCTGTGTGGGGTTTTGCGCAGGGGGAGGGCAGGTGGTGTTGGAACCTGAAGTTTTAGGCTTTTATGGTGCTCGAACAAAATTCCTGCCCTCTCTGTATGAAATGCTAGTGCACAGCTGGGATGAAAAATCAATAACTGTCATTACCAAACTGTTGTGATCAGGATTTTTTCCCCCCTTTTTTCTTTTTTTTTTTTTTTTTTTCTTTTTTTTTTTTAAATAAACCACTTGTATAGTGCTGTTTTGTAGTAGCATTTCCTCTAAATAGACATTTCTTATTTCACTGGTAGGGCAGGTGGCTAAGTGTAATTAAGATGGCAGGTTACCACCACATGGCGTATTGTATAGATTCACTGTATTAAGTCCTACATATTGGAGAGTTGCTCCAGTAACCTACCTCACCAAAATATATTGGAGGGGTCTTGAAAGGACCAAACTACAAAATGATTGAGTATATAGAGATTATAATGTTACTTTTTTCTGCTTGTTAAAATGCCTGTCTTGTGGGGATGTGGGGATTTACATTGGTCAGTGCTATTTTTAAATGAATTTATTAAGAATGTGATTGTTAACCTTTTTCAGACAGAAGCCGTGTATTAAACCTTTTCTACATTGGATTCTGTATAGTATTTATTTTAATTCTCTTAAATAAAGGTATTTCTTTTTAACAAGTCAAACATGTTTTCTTTGACTCATTTGAAATGAGACTTAATATATTTATCAAAGGTGTTCGAAACCACTGATTTTGACTAGGGAGTTTTGTCTTGGTCCTGAGTTCAGACACTAATAAATGAAACTTAGTGGGTGGGAAGAGTGTGCAGGAACTCTTCTAAAAGGGTAATTCCAATATTTTATTTTATTTTATTTTTTTTTCTCTGTTCAATTAAAATTAAGATGTAAACTGCCAACTAGTGCTTTGGTGTGAACTGCACTGTTCTATAGAAATTTGAAGTCAGCATTGTTCAGTGGTGGTGATTGGTATTAGGTGTCCAAAATATACAGTGCTTCTCACATGCAGGGCCCTGAAAGGCAGTTATTGTCAAACTTACCACTGTTATGTCCTTCTCAGTGTTGCATATAAAACTCAGATGAGTAGGTTCTCTTACCGTTTTGGATAGTAAATATAAATGGCTGTGGGCACTGTGCCAAAATCGTACTCAGACTGGAATTTTAGAGCAGAAAATCTAAGAGATAAAGTAAAAAGGATCTATATTTAAACATACTTGAGTATATACAAGTAAATGTCGTCAGGGCATTTTTTTCAACATGAAAGTAACTTCAGTGCTTGGCATGTGCCAATCACCCCCATCATCTTCCTTGTTTAAAAAAATTAGTACATATATGATGGTCATAACCACCACATTGAACAGTTATCTCCTCTCTCAGTCTGTCCTGCAGCAACTTGCTGCACTGCTGCTTCTCATCACTAACTCACTGCACTCCTACTCTTCATCTTCATCACTAACTCACTGCACTCCTACTCTTCATCTTCATCACTAACTCACTGCACTGCTGCTCTTCATCTTCATCACTAACTCACTGCACTCCTATTCTTCATCTTCATCACTACCTCATTGCACTCTTACTCTTCATGTTCATCACTAACTCATAGCACTCCCACTCCTTATCTTCATCACTAACTCATTGCACTCCCACTCTTCATCTTCATGCTGGTGTTTCAGTCAGTGGGCCTTTCTCTACAGCTCTGAATCATCATCTCCATGGACAATCCACACCACATGCACACCTCAAACAGACTCACTCCAATCTTGCTGTAATTTCTAGCAAATCTATATATATATATAAATATATATGTATGTATGTATGTATATATGTGCTATCCACTGTGTACCCTGCATCTCATTGATCTACCTCAGACTCACAAATTGCATATATGAAAGTATGTCCAAAAATGTGTATATTGTGTTTATGTGTATATAATTAGTCTAATGTGTATAAATATATATTTTTTTCTTATATATTTGTATACTTAAGTACTACAAGGGGGCTATACACCTAAGGTTTTCACTCACCTTCACACCTGTGTAAATGTGATGTGACAATAAACGTGATTTGATTTGACTAACTCACTGCACTGCTGCTTCACATTTCTAACTCACTGCACTCCTACTCTTCATTTTCATCATTACTCACTGCATTCCTGCTGCTTATCTTCATCACTAACTCACTGTCCTCCTACTCTTCATCACTAACTCACTACACTGCTGCTCTTCATCTTCATCACTAACTCATTGCAGATTTACTGAAGATTCATTTTACGCTGACACGGATTTGAATGGTTATTTAAATAAAAAACAATGATAACATGCACAGGAACTTGTGTAACTGATTGTTGCAGCAATAACAACCAACATTTCCTATAATCTGATATCAGCCTTTCACATTGTTGTGGGAGAGTTGGAGCTCACTCCTCTTTGCAGAACTTCTGTAATTCAGATATATTGGTAGGATTTTGAACATGAACTGCTTGTTTGAAACCCTGCCACAACATCTCTATTGAATTCAACTTTGACAAGGCCTCTCCAAAACATTGATTTTGTTTATTTGTCAGCCATTTCGATGTGAAATAGCTTTTCTGTTTTAGATTGTTGTCTTTCTTCATTCTTCACACGATTGTGTCCCTGTGCAGATGAACAGACAATCTCCTTAAGAATTCGCCTTAAGTTTTTTTCAGTAATAGCAGGTTATTCAGGTCCAAAACCACATTTAAGTGTTGGTATGATGTTTCTAGCGTGACTTGCTTTATGGGAAATATAAAGGGACGTGTGTTGTCCAAAAAGTTACACTTGGAACTGGTCTGTCCACAGAACTTTATCCCAAAAGAATTGGGGATTGTCCATGTGCATTTTTTGCAAATGTGAGATGAGCATTGATGTTTCTGTGGGTTAGCAGTGTTTCCCGGCTTGCTGATCTCCCATAAATGCCCCTTTTGCTCTGTCCATTTCTTACAGTGGAGTTAGGAACTTCAGCTGAACTTAGAATGGCCCTTGGGTGTTCTCCTGGAACCTTTACTTGGATGATTTACCTTTGTGCCCCTTTAGCAGGCCACCCAGTCCTGGGAAGTTTCACCAATGTGTCTCAATTTGTAGATAATGGCTCTCACTGTCGTTCGGTAATGTTCTAGAAACTTCATTCGATCGCGGCCTTGTGCGCTTGTAAAAAATGTTTGTGGTTGTGACTCTGTCATTCTGATGGTAAACTGCAATATGAATGAGGTTTACATTCAACAGGGTTGTCTTCAGTCAGCTGAATCTCATTAACAATTAAATGTAATTTAATTTGTTGAGTGGCTAAGGGGGCGATTACTTTTTCACATGGGTGGTTTGCATGTTGGATACCTGTGCTCATTACATGAATGGAATAATAATTTAAAAGTGGGTTTTGTGTTTGATTTTCATTGTTTATTGTTATATTTTAGATCTAAATGTATCTACTCTGATGAATAAGCATTCATTGAGAAAATCAGGAGGGGGCAAATACTTGTTCACAGCATTATAAATGAGTGAAAGAACAAGCAATTAATTTCAATACTACTTGACTAAAGTACAAATCTTCCAAAATAACGCTTGTGTAATAAAGTGCAGTTAAGAACAATAGTCTGTCAATGGACTTCATGGCTCACACTGGTAACCGGTCTGGTGATGAAGTCACTTACAAGTTGTCTGCGTGATGGAAATTGCTGTGGTATGTTGTCTTCTAATGTGCTTGTCTAAAGGAGTGGCACAGGAGGAATGCTGTTTGATTTTTTTTTTCTTTCTTATCCCACATCATGTTTAGTCTGTACATCGTCTAATTATAGAAGATGTAGATTGGAGACGTGATAATCTAATACATCTTTACTTCGAAGTGTGGAAAGTAACGCGAGAGAACACATCACCAACATGCCGTGTTAGTAAATAGTTCTCTGCTGAGAATGAAATCCCGAAATTAAAGTACAAGTTAAAGGTTTTTTAAGAACTACTTTTTTGCTGTGAAGTTTCTAAAAGGCATGCTTAGTGCACAGTCAGTGCTTATTTACATGAATTCTGATGTAAATGTCCATCCACTCCTGTTGCTGGCTTCACTAAACCTTGTTAGAATGCTGTCCACAGGGGGGCAGGCAAGCTGTTAAAGGTGGCAGCGAGAGAAAGTTAAACTGCGTTTGTCACACTGCACAGAGGCCTGGCTGTCCAAGAGTGTTACTGGCCAGTGGTTTGCAGCCCTTCCCGTATGTCATTTTAATTCCATGCTAACAACTTTTAATCACTTTGGCCAAATCGCTACCCCCCCAACCGCCGTCCCTTGACACGTATGTGCTGCTCACAAAGACGTGGTCTCATTCAGCCATCCATCAGGGAAACACTATGCTAATTCCCGCATCATGTACTCCTGTCTCATTTACCTTCACTTCATTCACTCCACGCTATTTCCCTGTCCTTTCTGCTTTTTCTATAGTCGCATTCCTCTTCTCCTACCATTACAGTCCTGCACTGAAACCAAAACAGCCCCCGAAACCCATCCCACCCCCCCCAGGCTAGGATGTTGTTTTGATTATGCATCTTCAGTGTAGGTGGCCCTTCCAACACTTTCACCATGTCTGGATGGCAACCCCCACCAACTGCCCCCACCACAGCTCACCCCCCTGCTGGGCGTGCGATTGTGGCCGGGGGGATTATGCGAGTGGGAGGCTCGTAAAGGGCCTGCCAGGGTCCTTCTGTGCAGTGACGGATGGCTGCAAGACTGAAGACCCGATTTACATGAGAAGAGGCAGAACAGAGGGCCCATTCAGCCGGCCTGTCAGGGAGGACTCGGGGACAAACTGCACTCTTTTCCAACTCTCCACCTTCCCCTCCGAGCTCCCGCTTTCTCCTTTATCCTCCCCCCTCATCCTTCCTTCTTCATTCTGCCTTCACCCGATGCATCCACGCACCTCATCTCTTCATTTTCATCCCACTTCATTTCCATCCCGTCTCACTTCATTTCCATGCTTTCAGATTTGTTTCCATTTAATAACAAATCTTCTTCTTGCTGTTTCAGCACAGCTGATAGGCTGCGATACAAAACTCTTGATCTTTCATAGCATAGATTTGTGTCTACTTTTCATCAAAAACTAAAATACACTTAAAAATGAAGGTGCCAAGTTGAACTCAATATGAGTCTTTGGAGTGATGCCATAGAACAACCACTTTTGCTTATGTAAGAACCTTTCAATCTATGGTTCTTCAAAGGCCAATTTTTCTATGTGAGTGTAAAGAGCTTTTTAAAGATGTATAGAATATAATGGTCTTTTCTAGAATTGTACATCCAAGCCAAGAACCATTAGGGAACTTTTATTCTTAAGGGTATTTTCAACAGAGCATATAAATGGGGGAATTAACCAAATCGATGGACTTAAAAATTGTCTATAGCTATACATTTCCCAGTTCAGTATTTTTAGCCAAGACTTTAATGTCTATACTTATTCCACCATAGAGTAAACTTCAACACTGTAGTTTGACGGGACCTCATGTATTAGAATTTGTTCCATCCTTAAAAGTCCCCATAGCAACAGCTACACTCCTAAAAAATGTGCCACAAAGGATTCTTGTGATGCCATATAGGAACCACTTTTGTTTACCTACAGAACCTTTTAATGGATGATTCTTTAAAGAGTATTTGTTTGTAAATGAGATATGTAAGACTGAAGAATCTTTTTAAAGTTTAAAAAACCTACACATATGGATTAAAAGGTTTTTCTTAGAACCGTACATCCAGCCCAAGAACCTTTATTTTTTTAAGAGTATTTTCAAAAGAGTATATAAATGGGGGAATTAATTAATTTAATGAGCTATATATTTCCCAGTTCTGTATCATTAGCCAAGTCTTGTGTACCTATAGTTAGCCCGCCATGGAGTAAACTTGTATGATCATTTAAAACTGTTTTTTTGATGGGTCCTCACATCTAAAAATCTGAAAAGTCCTCTTATCTACAGCTATGTTTCAGTGTATCACCCCCCCACCCACCCACCCCGTGTCATTCTCACAGCAAGAGTAAGTGCCCCTGAATTCTCCAACATATTTCCAATTTAAATGTGGCCAGGGTCCACCCGCCATCATCTGCATTCGACAAGTGGGGGCTAGCAGCAACAGATTTAGATCAGCTTGGCTACTGGCCATTAACACCTCCACAGTGAAGGCAGATGTGATATTACACACTTAGGACAGTCACCAAGGTGTCAGAGTGATCACACTTAATGATCCCGAAACCATCAGCTCAACGACTTTACAATGGAGAAACGTGTGAGTACGGGCCCCTACCGAAATCTGTGTTAAAACTCTCTCATTTGAACCGATTTATGCGAAGACCAACAGACTAACTACTACGGTTTGTAAAACGCCTTTTCCATTTGAGGAAAGTGTTAATTCTTTAAAACAAGCACACTGAGCACTACAGCTGCCAAAGTTTATACCCCTCTTTTCTCTTTTACAAATGTAATATAGCTTTTTAAGGAGTTAAAAAGAAAGAATACAATCATACAAAGGGTTTTTATATATTTAGGGCCAATAAATAGTGATCTTGTTTAAATAAGTAATGTGTTTAAAATCACTGGGTAAATATAGAGATAATTTGGATATTTTTAATTAAATCTAATTTTGGGCTAAATTATGCTGTCAGTGTAATACTACACTAAAACCAGTGATGCACTGAATTTACTTGATTTAAACGTGTATCTCTTTCACATTATTAAAATACATAATTTTGTAAACAAAAAAACAAATGTAAAATGTAAATGTAATTATTCAAGAGGAAATGTTATACAGTGCTCAAAGGCAGTCCTGACACACTCCCTGAATACAATTTACATCTTTTTATTTACTATTTTCTCAGTTAAATGTATAATTTATTTGTTCGGTTCCACCAGAAAAGTTATAACAGCCATAAATGACAACCATGTTTATAAAGTGAAACTCTAAATGATTCCTATAATTTAAAAAACTTATGTAAGGCAAGTAAAAATACTGAAAAATAAGCAGGAAAAACGTTAGTGTCTCTTTTCTTTAAGTAGGTCAGTATTTAGTATTTTATTTAGGCTGGTATTTTGTTGCATCTCATTCTTTTGGGTGACTGCTGAACTTTTCTAAGCACAGAGTGCATGAGTTTTGCACAACAATACTCAAGCAGGCTTGCTGAATTTTCTCTTTCAGATGGCCAGAGTGTGGCAGGTTTTGAATACTTCTTATCTCTTTCAGTCATTTTAGTACATTTTTCACTCTTGAATCAGAAATTTTTAGCATGTTTAATCTTTCTCACAGACATTTTGTAACCAAAATACAATATTTTTTGTCAGATTAATTCAACAATAAGTTTTCTGAGATTTCCAACTTTCTCTTTCTTTCAGAATGTTAACAACATGTAGAGTCAGGTGTGTTGGATGGTGTGTTGGAGATCTCTGGTTTGAATGTGTATGCATTTAGATTAGTGTCCCAAAGTATTGTGAAGTAAAATAGGGGTTAGAAAAATGTTTTCTAGCTTGCTATTGCTCAATTGGACTCTTGATTAATTCGTTGCAGCTGAAATTATGTACTTCTGAACGTGGTAAAGCACAATTTCCACAATACATTAACAAATTAAATAATTATAAAAAACTAATGATGATATAACTGACCCAAAAACTACTTTTGAGCACTTTTGAATCCAGTAAATCAAATGCATGACTTGTCATCAGATGCAGGTTTACACTGAATCGATAAATCTGATCTAAAATGTTTCTCCTCATTCACCAAATGATGTTAATTAAGTTACAAGAGCTCCTCTCAGACACCTCAAACAAAGCGTGCAGAGAAATCTCAGTAGTCCTTCAGTTGTAAATAAGGAGCCATTCTTTAAAACGCGTCCCAACTTAAAAAGGGAAGACGTCGCTATTAACATACGCTTAGAAGAGGTTATCTGAGGCTTGCATTTCTTTGCCAAGTTTGACAGTTTCGTGTTTGATTCGATGTAATGATTCAAACACAAATATTTAAAGTGAACGATGATACTGTTATTTGTCACTATACCCACAAAAGAGTGTTTTTTTTTAGCCATTGAACTCAATGTTGTCCCTGCACAGGTGATATCATTCAGATAGCTCTGTTAGCAGAGCTTAGAGCTCAGACATCTGAGTGCTTTTCTTTTGCACGGCATGGAATAACAGCGCTGTCCTAACTTGTTTAAGACTTACATTTTTGAACTCCTGAAACATTGGGCTTTACTGAAAGTCAGAATGGTCACAGTCAGCTAGTGCTGGTGTCTATATATGCACACATAAAGATACAGCTTTACATGGCATGTATATGTGCACACACACACACACACACACACATATATATATATATATATATATATGTGTGTGTGTGTGTGGTGTGTGGTGTGTGTGTGTGTGTGTTTGTGTGTGTGTGTGTATATGTGTGTGTGTGTGTGGTGGGGTGATGGTGGGGGGCTGGGGGGAGGCTTTATGAATGTAAAGCCCCAACTTTGAGCTGCTGAGTCGCCTTTGTTGAAAATCAGACTGATTAAGTTGAGCACAAAAGGGAGAGAGAGAGTGAGAGAGAGAGTGAGTGAGAGAGAGAGAGGAAGCAGAGAGAGAAGAGAAAGGAAGACAGTGCTGGAAAAGCTCCAAAAAGACGTTGTCGTGGATACGGAAACGGGAGAGTGGAGCCCCACAATTCATTTTGATTGACGTAAGGGTGTAACGGTCAATCACGGGCAGACTTTTCAGAGCTCACGCACCTGCAAACTCCGTCACACACCTGTGTCTACACAAAGTCACTTTCGTGCACCCACACCTTTTCTTTTCCCCGAGCACTGGCTGACGCAGTGAGAATCCCACACCTATAGAAACTCTTGACATGCACACATCATAAATTATCATCAAAGGAAAGGTTTGGAACAAAACTCCCGCCATGTAATTATGGCCCTTTGGCACTTTTCTGAAAGCAATGATTTGCTACAGTACATGTATCAGTACATGCGCACAACAACAGAACATGTGTACAACACTCCCAATTCAGTTTATATTAATGTATTAATAATTTTTTGTTAATGTGCTGGCTGTTTTTGGACGCATGTTAGGAAGTGCTGAAAATGTTTATCACTTTTTTCCATTCTAGACAAAGACTGAATCAAGGCCTAAACTTTAGGAAAAGGATTTGTCTTTGACTTTTTAGGAGATTTTTAACAAACAGAAAATGATGCACTGAATTTACTTCATTCAAATGTGCAAATCATTTCCACATTAACACAGTTTACTCACGTTGTAGTTTCTTCAGTTCACTCTTTACTTTTGCACATTTGAATCAAGTAACTTCAGCGCACTGCTTTTCCTTTAGTGTAGGCTTAAGCTTTGTTTCTGTGTTACTGTGCACCTGCAAAGGATTTGTCTGATCTGATATTACTGAGGATCTTAACTGCAATTTTGATGTTCAATTATTACGCAATAAAGATTACGCCCCCATGTATAGCTTTCCCAGTGGTCACCCAATGACTGGCCTGTGTAGGAACAATGAAAGGCGCTGAAGTGTAAAATGAAAGTAAAGCTATTGAAACCAGCTGATAGAGAAGCACTCTATACAAAACAAAGCATGACAGAATTCGAGTATAGCCGCAAGTACACAAAGTTAATATCATTATAAACAGATTAAACAGACGAAAAAGTGAAGAAAAAAGGGCACTTAACTTTTTTTAGAACTGCTGGATTGATCATGGATTATGGATTAATCATAGGAATCCCCATCCAAAAGCAGAATTATTCATTTAATTGTTTAAAAATTAGACCTGATCTCGACCAAAAAATAAAACAGTTTTTTTAATACATAAATACTTTTAGCATGGAAACAACACCAACACACACTTCTATTTAAAAGTTCTACTGGCGAGAAAAATAATAATAATAATAAATAATACAAGCTAGTACGCTCATATCAAGAGACTGATTTAGTTTCGATTAATAAAAGCGATTTCTTTTCGATGGTTTCTTTTAAAAAAAAACCACTCTTTTCTGTCTCTGCTGCTCTGATAGAAACAGTAAAGCTCAGCTGAGTTCAGGCAACAAGTGCCTTTAGGCCCCGCCCCCCGCTATAGTTATCCTAAATGTAAATTAGCTGAGGGCAGCGCCCCGCCTTCTGATTGGTCCACCGCGGAATACAAATTTGCCTAAAACCGCGAGTGGCGAGAGTGTGTTTTTGTTTCCCTCCCAGTCACTTATTCACACCCTCAATCACTGCTCAACAAGTGGTTCTGTGCGCTCCTAACTTTGGACAGAAAGCGCTGCGGCTGAAAACGTTCTCTTTTTTTCTCCCAGACAAAAAACTGCGCTGACTCAAACTGAAGGCGGTGAAATGGTGAAAACTTTGTGACACGTGTTTTTTTCCTTCTTCTTCGAGTTGTTTCTTTTCTGGTCAGGCAAACGCGGCTGGCGTTGCCGGTTAGCATGTGGCAATAGGCTGCACCTGCGCCAGATTAGCTTGACCTGAGGGAAAAACTTCGGACAAGTTTGATTCTCGACTCTTTTCTTTCGTTTTTAAGCGTACAGTTAGGGTGAGTGCTTAGTCCTATTTGGCGAAGATGATGTACAGCATGATGGAGCACGAGCTGAAGAGCACGGCGGTGCAGCAGAGCTCTCACCCCGGCGGGCAGGTGCTGCAGGCGGGCGGTGGATGTGGGAACGGGCCGCCGCCGCACCAGCAGCAGCAGGCTCAGAAAAACTCCTGCCCTGACCCCATGGATAAAGTGAAGCGGCCCATGAACGCCTTCATGGTGTGGTCCCGGGGCCAGCGGCGGAAGATGGCGCAGGAGAACCCCAAGATGCACAACTCTGAGATCAGCAAGCGCCTCGGCGCCGAGTGGAAGCTCCTGACTGACGCCGAGAAGCGGCCCTTCATCGACGAGGCCAAGCGGCTGCGCGCCGTGCACATGAAGGAGTATCCGGACTACAAGTACAAACCGCGCCGCAAGACCAAGCCGCTGCTGAAGAAGGACGCGCCGCCCGGCAAGTACCCGCTGACGGCCGCGCAGGGCCAGGCGCTCAGCCCCAGGATGGACGGGTACGGCTGGGCCCCCGCGGGAGGATACACCGCGATGCAGAGCGACGCGCTGGGATACACACAGCAGCTCCACCGCTACGACCTCAGCGGACTGCAGTACCCCACTCACACCTACATGAACGGCGCCAATTCCTACAGGTGGGCAAGGGGTCCGCACGGAGGGAATAACTTAAGGCTAGCATGTCCTTAACGCTAATTTATTTGTCTGTCAGCCATTTTAAATGTGACAATGTTAATATTTTAATTAATGTATTTTATATAGCAAGACGGAATGTGCAAAAATACATGTGTAGTGTAAATAAATCCATGTACTTTAGTTGCTCAGTTTTAGTATGTAATAAATGTATTCGGTGAACAAATTATTTATTAATTTAAAACGCACCACAAAAATTCATACACAACCCACCTTGGTGTTTTAAGTCAAATAATACGGGTTAACAAATGGAAATTAAATGAACTTTTTAACTTTTCAATACTTTTTTAATGTTTTATGTACTTGTAAAAAGTTATTAGGATTAAATTGTTCGCCTACATTTTAAATGCATTTTTGTTTGTAATGTAAAAGCTAAACTATCATTTTATATCAGCAATTGTTGGCTATTTCCCTGCTTGTTCAGTTTCTGACCATCCGACTCTGATCTTTCCTCCACAGTCCGATGTCGTACAGCAGCAGTCCCCAGCAGCCCAGTCCGGTAATGTCCATGGTCAAACCAGAGCCCCTGCCCCACTCCCCCACTGGAGCCTCAAACCACCACCGCGGGGCCATTCAGGGCGACCTCAGGGACATGATCAGCATGTACATCCCTGGAGGAGACGTAGGGGACCCTACGGCCCAGAGGGGTTACCCCAGTGTCCAGCAGCACTACCTGGGCAGTACTGTGCCCCTCACGCACATTTAAGGTTGGGGGGGAAAAATGACTGGGACTAGCTCAGCCGGATCATAACGTAGGCTTGTCATGCAACAAGTAATCTGTATGGATTCTTGATGGATGTTCTGAGCAGCCGTTGCACATAGGAGCATGTTCTACCTCTTTGAGTGATCACACCCCATTTTTTTTTCTTTTTTTTAAACTGTAGATTCGTTCAGTTTGTTCATTAACTCCCTCAAATCTTGTGGTTTTTCCTTTTTGCCCTGAATTTTACCCTTTTTTGCAGTTTACCGATTCTTCCCAGAGGAGTTTCTCAGGAAAGATAGGTATGACGAGCCAGTCATTCATAATATTTGTGCTTGGACACAACATTCAAAAATTCAGTTCTCATTGTAGGACGTTCCCCTTGTGTATATATTATCTCTCAGAACCTGACAATGTGCCTTTGTGCTCCATGCTTCATTAACGGGGTTGAGGTCATTCATGCAGTAATGGGCAATCAAAAACCAAACTAGGGTATAGAAAAGAGGACATAGGCGCACTGAAAACATGTCAGCCAATTGCCATCCTCATAGCCAAGGATATACAAATCATGTGACCTTATGGAGCATGGCTAAACTAGTTTTGCTTTGTGAACCACTGTGCCCCCGAAAACTGGAATAGCTTGGTTAACTATATGGTTGACTCAATGTTGAACCATTTTAGTGCCTTATACCAGTAGTGATTTACATTTTCAGTAGTTGTGGGGTGGTGACATTTGTAGAAATATTGGAAATGTGGTCATGATAGCGTTGGAAGTTGGCACAGTTTAACTTCTTGTTGGAGTGACATTTTAGAGAGAGCAATCACATAATGGCTATTGCCTTATTGTACCAAATTTTGATCATGGAGAGTACTTCCGCAGCACCCTTTTAATAGAGTAGGCTATGCATTGGTTGCACAAATGTACTATCGGAATAGCCTTGGAAAATATAACGTGCAAAAGGAAATTCATGCATTTCAACAAAACTAAAAAGCAATAGTTCTGCCTGTATAAATGTTTACCTTTCAGTGTGAGACTCTAGCACTATGACTCCCCTGTAATTGATTTTTAAACCAATCAATGCACTGATCTTTACCCTCTGGTCAATACTAAGTATTGCCTTAGACCGAGTTTCAATACTGAGTCCATTTGAAGGGACTCTCACCACTTATTTGTGGGATTTTAGAAAAGGAGGGTGTGTGTTTCAGAATAACTTGTACGTCCGTTGGGCGAGTGAGAAGCCTGCTTACTGCTCGTATAGCTAATGCCAGATTCAGCAGAACCCGAATGCCAAAAGTGGTACGCAGGTGCTGCTAAGTGCAGAAAGAGCTGAAGTGTATTGCCTTTTTTGGGTTGTTTTGATGGTCTAACTCGAGTCTACAGTCAAGTCTAGCGTGTTTTTTCAGTTCTCAGTACAGTTTTAGTTTAGGAATCTGCTAGTCACTAATGAGTTAAGAAGTTTAATGTTGTAATTTATATAAAAGTAATGAAATGAGTGAATGTTTACATTTGCCATCCAAGTGAGTGTTCAGCTTGCTGTTTTGATGTATTTGTGTTTTTATTAATGCTGTTTGTAAATAGCCTTTGTACAGTTAAACTTTTTATGGCCCTTAAGGGTCCTTTTTTTTCGTAAAACAAAAATCTTACAAAAAATGTAAATAATAAAAAAAAAAATCCAAATGCGTGTGTCAAAGTTTGTTCAAAGTGTGAGCTTCATCTTTCTACCAGTGTTCTTTAAATGCAATGTGTGTACACATGAACATTTATTGGTTCCTCTATGAAGGGAACTTTCCCTAATATGTGTTTAGTCTGCCCTTTCAGGACAGTTCGTTATTCAAAGTATTTATTTATTATGTATTCATTTTAAGTTCATTGCACGACAATTACAGTCAGGATGTCAGAGTATGTATTATAAATTAGAGCAGTGTAATTTCAGATGGTCTTAGAGTTCCCGCTCTATTCAGTGTTCGGGGTTAAAGATGAGAGGAGGACCCTCAACCATGTGCAGAGAAAGCTGGGCACACATCCGTCGCAGGGCGGAGGGAGAGAATAATTGAGGGGCAATCGATTTAAATTTCTCCCTTTTTTCTTTTGAAACCTCTCTGTCCTCCCCCTCGACACACCCATCCCGCTCGTAACAGGCCGTTTCGGAGCCATATTGTCCGGCTCTTTTCAGCTCGCAGGTGTGCGGGGTAAAGCCGCTGAACCCAGAGCGCCCCCCCAAGGGCCGCTTTGTTCGATGCCCCCCCCGCCGAGCACTCAATTACTGCTGCCGGCCTCTCCCCCTCTCCAGCTCGGGGTTAACCCTTTCTCCACGTCCCGCTATTGTCATGGAAATAGTGGTGCCCGCTTCTGCTAATCGGAGGAGGGGAGGAGGAGGAAGACGACACTGAGGCCTAGGCTGCGTCCAAATCCACACCACTACTGTATAATACTATACATACTACTCTAACGAGGGCACTAATAATGGCGGTGTACCATTTAGAGCTAATTTTCAGAATTGTAGTTAGCTGTTTTTGCTACAGCCTTTCCAAAGTCGCAAAAACTATGGCTTTTACAGTTAAATAGTGCACTAGCTAAAGCCTATGGTTGTATCCAAAATGCATCTCATTTAATGTATAACATTTTATACACTATCTGGATGCGAAGGTCGTTATTTTAGGAGCTATGGGAGGAAGCCATTTAAGATTTAGCCAGCTTGACTAACTGGCTAACTAGATTTAGGCATCTCAGTTACTAGCCTGCACCCAGTAGCCTCAACTTTTAGAGCACAAAGCCTTCAGTCTTACTTTCTCTACGGCGACAGAGATTCCTTAACACACGGTGTTGCCTGTACTGCGTCACTTTTTCAGTTTTTTGAGAAAACAGTTGGTTCTGTAGCTCTGAGTTCTGAAAACATGAACTGTTACCTCGAAACGCTGTTAGCCAAACTCCCCTCGACTCTGGACAACAGTAAGACGCAGAGGAATGGAGAAGGCAGCAGACCACAGGGTCGGAGTGGTCGGTGCAGTAGGTGTAGATGGGGGGTGCGTGTTTGTGTGAGTGTGTTGGGGGGGAAGGGTGGTCTGGGGGGGCAGCAGCATTTTCTCCCGCCACACAAACTGTCTCTTAGCAACGAGCAGCGAGGCCTCAACAAGTGGCCACCGTGCTGCTGATGGCAATTAGCAGAAACTCCGCTGTGAACAGAGGAGCTAGTTAAGTCGGTTAACAAAAATGCTTCGTGAATGCGCTTGACGGGCCACGTCTGATTCGCAGAGTCTGTCTGTTCTCAAAGGCTTGTTTTATCGGCGATTAGCTGTAATACTGTCAGTACCGTAAAGCAGGAAACCAAACATGAAAGGTTACCATGGCGACGGGTGCGCACTATTTACCTGCATTCCGAGGGAAGCCTAAAGCCACTCCCATCCCGCACGCACCCAGAGAGAGAAGAGAAAGAGAGATAGAGAAAAAGAGAGAGAGAGAGAGAGAGAAGAGAGACAGAGATTTGTAGATATAGTACAGTATTTGGACACTTTAACCATTTAACCATTGGTAAATTTAATGAAGTTCTTTGTTACTTCATAAAATGTTTAACAAAATGATTTTTTCCTCAGAGAAAAACACTGTTTAGCACAACCCAAACCGATGGTAGACTCTGGAGAAAACCTAGAGAAAAACTCCAGCTGTACTGCACTAAGAGTACTGTAAATCACAGAGGAGGAAAAATCAAAGTCTGGTTTTCTAACAGTGGTGTGGATGAGCTTGTGTTCATTGACGGGATCATGAACTCAGAAGTGCACAAAGGCATTTTGGAGGCCAACTTGGAGAAGTCTGTAAAGAAACTGCTCACATGATAACAATCTGAAAGAGCTGCCAAAAAACTACAGCCATTGAATGGTCAGTTTAAAATAAGTCACTTGATTTTACATTTTGTGGTGTAATACAATGAACTTGCATTTTTAAGTATGGCACAAACATCCAAATACATTTTGTGACATTTGTGAAATTGAAAGATTACACTTGAAAAAACAGCAGAAAATTCAAAGATGCAAAGATCTATGGCCTACCTGTTCTACCCATTCCTGACTAAACATACCAACAACAGTGAAATGTCTGAATAACAGTACACAAACATTTAAATAATAGTGAACTACAATTTAATCCACCCAAATTTGTATTTAATTGTCTCCTTAAAGTGATATGCCTCAGTCTGAACCTCCAGATTCCTCTCTGCGGGGAGCAGACGCTTTTGTTTTATTGAGTACACATACACACGCACACAGACACACACACACACACACACACACACACACACACACACACACACAGAGCTACTCCATCACCTACTTGCACAATGTGTTGACAGACCTTGCCCAAACCTTGTTTGCGCGCAGGTGAGTGAGTGGGCGTAGGATTTTTTTCCCTTCCCTTTTTTTAATAGAGCTGCTACGGTTGGTTGACATGCCACCAGCGCTGTGTACACGCATGTTTGACTCACCCTCACATGGCCCAGCTGAACGCTGGCTGTCACGCAATAACAGGGCAGCTCTGAGGCAGGAGGGGGGGAGATCAGACTGATAACAGGTGTGTGTTATGTCTGCTAGCGGCCAAATATGGGTGGTGGGGATATCCGTCCACTTTGCTATCAGCATCTAAAGCACTGTGCTCAGTCCAGCCAAGAAACTATTATTAAGTAACTATTTATCTGGGCAGTAAGCGTGTTTTTATTTGTATTTACTATGTTATGTTAGTGGTTTTTTTCTGAGTAGATGAATGCTTACGTCCCAGATAAATAGTTGTAAATCTGATTTGCTCAGGTGGCTTAAGATGTCTGCACACTGCTGTACATCCAAAAGTAAAGAGGATAGAGTAGATAAAGAGAAAAAGAGAGAGAGAGAGGCAAAAGAGAAAGAGACAGAATGAGAAAGAAAGAGAGAAGGAAAGAATATGTGAGATAACAGTAGAGAGAGAGTGAGAAAAAGAGAGAAGAGCAAGCAAGAGAGAAGCAGAGAGTAGGAACTAGAAAGAGGGAGGGAGAGAATATATAATGTGAAAGAAAGGCAGAAATATGAGATGAAAAAGAGAGACTGAGAAAGATGGGAGAGAGAAAAGAGAAAAAGACTGAAAAATATAGATGGAGTGAAAGAGAAAGACAAATAAAGTGAGAAAAAGAGATAGAAAGAGAGAATGAGAAAGAATGTGAGAAAGAGGGCAAGAGAGAAACAGATCGAGAGAGATAGATAGAGAAAGAAGTAGGGAAAAAGAAAGAAAAGAGAGAGGGGGGGGGTTAGACAGGTCTGCTCACAGTGGGAGGGAAGTTTTTGCCAAATCTCTCAGCAGTTGCTGTGAAGGGTTACATTTCTTGCTGCCTGCAGATGGGTGAGGATAGCGCGCTGAGCGGACGTAGGCAAGTTGCTTTGGTAGTGTTTGTAACTGCTTGATTGGTTATGTTTGATTCACACAGTTCGTGATCAGATGAGACACGCGGGCTCCAGCTAGTCACTGAAACATATCGGCTCAACTTCAAACGACTGGCACTCAGCCACACACAAGCATCAGCCATTCATTTACCTCTTCACTGGCAAGCTGGAGATGCATTATCACCATGATGAGTGGTGTTTGATGAGACAGGTCCTCATGTAAGAAGCCATTTCTGTCATAGTTCTGTGAAGCCAAAGTATTTGCTCTAAAAATATCCAGTATAGTTTTAGCTTAAAGGTGAACCTGAATAATTAGAAAGAAAAAAAGCAGAATACACCAGATTTGTGAGCATTAAATACTGAAATTAACCCACTTTGGTTTGCCCACCAAATGTGGAGGGATAAAATACTTTCCAACATCTGGCTGAAACTGAATTTACTTAAGTTTCTACCAATGATGTGAAATGGTGCACTGTAGAGAGACTTCCCCTCTCAGAATTGTTCACAGTGGTGGTGATAGGAACCAGACGTCTGAAGTGTTTAATGCCTCACAGCAAGCGATTACTGATGCCTTAGATTGACATTGTTTACAATAGTTCTGAGATAAAGTTTTAGCCAATTTTTTGTATATTCATGGTGAAGAGGTACATGCAGGATGTTAAATAGCAAAACAGTCTCCAGAAAAAAAACTGTTTGATTTACCATTATCAGTATTACATATAAAAACTCAGAACATGTAGATTCACTGGTTGTTTTGGATAATAAATAAAATGGCTTTATTTGCACTGTAGGCCTCCCTTCTGTAGGCTTCCTATCAGCACCGCTGTAAAGAAATCTGTTTTAGTATGACTGAACTACGCAGCAATTTTGAAAAATCTGTGAAATTCTGTTTCAAATGTGTAAATCATTTCTACACCAGTAACATATATTACTGAATCAGCACATTTATTACCAAAAGTAAATAAACTAAAAGACAAAGGTTGTGCTTAAATCATAATCACATTTGAATCAGGTAAATGCAATGCATCCCTCTTTTCAGTGCGCTGAAAGTTGCTTAATGATGATCCAGATCGAGCAATATGCAAGTACTAATATGTTCAGAGATTTTCGACGGAAGCAAAAGACTAAACTGTAAGCATTTAATACCGTTGCTATTTGATTTTTCTTTATTTGTGATGAAGCGCAAATAAACCTGAGCAGAGTGTGCAGAATGGGAGTGAGGGAGGTGTAGAACTGAAAGCTCAGGAGGGTATGAGGTCAGAGCCCAGCTTTGTGAGCAGCTGCAGAGAGCTTTGACAGAGCATGTGTACATTAGAGCAGGGCTAATGCACCTAATAGTGTTTGCCAAGTGCAGAGAGAATGACTGACAACTAACACTAATGAGCCACACCCTGGACTAGACTGGTCCTGCAGCAAGCAGAAGGAGGGTGGGGGGGCAAGGGTGAGAGAGAGAGAGAGAGAAAGGATTGTACATAACCACAATTGAAAACTTCTTTGCTAACCGCAAAATCTCTATTTTTGTACTTTAGAGATTAGAGTCATATGCAAAAGGGATCCCTGGTTAAATGACATGTTTTGCCCTCTAAATTCTTAGATATGGCATTTTTCTGCAAATCACTTGAATTTAAAGTTTCCACTAATTTTTTCAAAATTTCTACTCAATTCAATTGTTAACAAACAAGCAAAGGCACTCTGAATAGCTTGATGTGAAATGGTGCACTGTAGAGAAACTTCCCCTGTCAGAAATGTTCACAGTGGAGGTGATAGGAACCAGACGTCTGAAGTGTTTAATGCCTCACAGAACGCAGTTACATGAAGTTATGAATACTCTGTCTGATGCCTTAGATTGACATTGTTTTACAACAGTCTTGAGTTTTGGCCATTTTTAAATACATTCATAGTGAAGAGCTAAATGCAGGATGTTGTAAGACAAAGTAGTCCCCAGAAAAAACAAAAAAAAACAAAAAAAAACATTATCAGCATTACGTGTAAAAACTCAGATGTGTGTAGACTCACTGGTTTTCTGGATAGTAAACAACCAGTTATTTGATGATTTTAACATATTAAAGAAATAAAACATACTGTATAAAATGTTTCATAGCTTTTTCACAGGTCACATTTAAAGTTTTTTCCAATTCCTACTTGTTACATTCAGCAAATAACTTTTTCTGTTTTATTTGTTTGTTTATGCCATTTACCTTTTACACTGTATTTCTCAATAAAATTAATTGTTAAATGGAACAATATAATCATTTATACAGTCCAAAAATACTTGGAATTGAAATGTCTTTGCATTAACTCACATTAAAGTTAAGAACTTTTGATTTTTTCTTTCTGCATTGTTATTATTTCAGAGATGCAGAGTTTTGTTGCAACAGTGGCGATATGTGACAAACGTTTTTCTTCCTATTCTTTATCATCTTATATTGTAAAATTGAGGTTTGTTTAGATCCCTAAAAAATCTGAGACAAACCGGTCTGTCACAGGAACTGGTCTGGCCGTTATCACTAGTCACCCCCGCATAGGTAGGGCAGTGGTGCGTTCCACTGATTAAAAGATATGAATGTAGAAAATGCGCTCTCTGAGGCGGGGGAGATAAGAGCTCGGGCCACACACTGCAGAGATCTGAACAGCTGGGCTTTGAGGAAAGCCGACAGACCTCACCAATGGAAAAGCACCTTCAAGTGCAGACCTCCCAAGAACACACAGGTGATAAAGCAGAGTTTTGCACTGCACGCGTTCCACTATCGCACACCTCCCTGTTTAAGCCTGTTGGTGGACTGATCACCCTCCCTCTGCTCTCTTCTAATGCTACTGTTTTGCAACTCCTGTGTAGTGACACTATGGGCATCTACGGTGTTAGCTCTGGGCAGTGCTGTTAAAATTCAATATGACCATGTTTTCCAAATATATTTCACGTAGGGGTGTAACAGTTTATCAAAATTCATAATTAGATTTGATATGATACAGTGGTGTCTTGGTTCGGTTTTTGATGCAGCAAAAATAAGGAGTAGCTGATCTCTTATTCTCTTTGGGGTCAACATCCCATTCAGTGTTTAACATCTCTAAATAAATGATTGACACTTTTTTGCGTCATATTTAATGACTTTTCTTAATTTAATGGGGACAACTGAGTAAACATAAAATTAACATGATGATATGTTTTCAATGTCTTGTACAGATTTTGTACACATCAGGGCTCTCTGGGGTCAGTTTGACCTCAGGCTGTTTCAGCTGTATAACATATAAGAAATATCAACATTTTACACACATTTGTTTTGGCTGTTTTGGATGATATTGAGGCCATTATAACATGCAATTTTATAATCTTCAAAACACTTCCCCCTTGCTTTAGGGCCCTAGCCTAACATAAGCATACATGTAGTAGTGCGACAACCACAGATAGTTCACACAACATGGGGAGCATAATTCCTACAACTTTGATATTTCTCGGAGGTTTGAATCATTGGGATCAAATTGACCCCAAGAATAAAAGATGTTAGTAAATTTGAGGATAACAGGAAGGTTAATGACAGCATTCCACATTATAAAAGTGCAATATTTTATAATATTGCGCTAGCCACAAGCTATTATATGCTTATATGGAGGATGTTTTTCCCCCGGCTCTTGATTTTGAGGTAAACAGGAAATGATCCTTTCAGAAGAGAAAAACTAATTGTGAGCTTGCTTGATTAATTGTTATTATACTTTATGCAATACAGTCACTATTAAACTGAGTATGTAGGAATGGATGCAGAACCTGAAACGTTTTTGGCCGAATCATTTTAGCATTTATGATAATTTTACTTTTTTTATATAAGCAACCTATACATCTCTGCCACAAATGAAAATATAAATTTTGTTTCCAGCATCTACCACTTATGAACAATTCAGCCAGAAGAGGCAGGCGCGCAAACTAACCCCACAGGCAAGGCTAACTGTAACAGACTGAGAGTTGTTGAAACACGTCAGGTTAATCGAAGCAAAACACAATTTATTCAAATTATTATGCTGTTTGAACTAGACCAGGTTTCCTACCTAAATACATAAACATACATAATCATAATAAATAACAATAATGAAATAAATAAATCTTGAAGAAAGTGTCCAATATGGCAAATCTATTTTTGACCACAAAGTAGAAGAGCAAATATCAGAACAATAAAATCGAAATAGATTTTATTTACATTTACATGACTCATACTGTATGTTTTAAAATCTGTGTTGAATGTGTATGGGAGGATATAGACATCTCTCATTGTTTTCATTGGGAGGCTTAGTTGTAACAATGTGTTAAAACTAACCCTGCACTGTGAAGGCTGTACATCAGCCTGGCTGGCTTTTACTGAGAGTTATTTACATGCTTCAAAATTGTGCTATATTACAGGCACCAACAGAGTGATTCAAATAACACATAAGTAAATGTTGTGACACAACTGAGCATAAAAAAAAAGACATATGATGAAATATGAATCTTGAGAAATATCTGCATGAGAGCTGTCAAAAGTTGCAGATGATGACGTATGAGGATACGAGAAAGCACATTCTACTTGAACCTGTTCAACTGCAATATCCATGTTACATTTTAACCCATGCTAGGCTGCGCCCCGCACTCCCCTTCTATATTTGCTCCAGTCTGCTGAATGTATTGTTCATTAACTGAGCGTACTGAATTAAGAGGCTTGTATTGATTGATTTTGATATCAGATGATATTTAAGTCTGCATTAATGTTAGTATAAATGAATTAACACACGCTTCTTGAGTACTAAGGAATGTATTACAATCCTGACACACCTTGTTCTAATCGGACAGTTTAGTTTTGTTCTGCTTCTCTTAAAATGACACCAAAGGTACACAGCATTGTGAATGTTAAGGAGACAGAAAGCACATTTCCAGAAAGGGAAATATATGTTTCTTTTGGTTTGTATGGATTTTTTTTATGAACTGCTCTTTGAAAATAATTTGAAGCAGCCAGTAAATGACACTGCAGGTAACTCAATTTTTGTGATCTATCGATATCACTTAAATGAAAATTGTATTTTTTTTGTGTGACACCAGTGCCAGTATACCGGCATAGACAATATACAAAAGTTATGCAAAAGTTTAAGTGCCCCATTTACATTACATGTTTTGTTGATTTAAAAATGTCAACACATCCTCTATAGAGAACACACTTCTTCACGTTTTAATGCATATTGGGAAAAAAAATATTAAAATATATATTTTGACCTGTTAAAAGTGACTTATGTTCTCTTACAAAATCAACAAGTAATTTGACTGAGAGTGTTCAGACTTTCAGACACAACTGTACTGTCCAGCACTAATGTAGATGCAGCATTGTTGTTTTCAAAGGGTGCAGCATTTGCTGTTCAAGGTAATGCCTTTCAATGGGCATTGTTAGTTTAACCAAAGTATCACTCAAAGTGACTCCTGAAAGAAGGCACGCCATTACGCACCGTTCCTCTCAAAATAGAAGTCCGGTCAAAGCCACAACATGAAATACTACAGATGAAAAGGACAGAATTAAGTTAGAGGGGCTTTAATATAAGTCTGAACTGTGATCAGGCCAGTGTGTGAGTGTGTGTGAGTGTGTGGAGAGTATGTGTGGTAAGCAAGCAGTTACTTTGCTACCATCTACAGGCAAAAATCAATCCACGCAAGCACACGCCATTTCCTGTTTTGCTTAGAAGCACTAAGCATTGGCATAACAGAAAAAACGGTTTTGGGGTGAATGCTATGCTTAATTCAGTAAACAAATTCATATGTTTTTATAGTGTTATTTATTATATTCTTGCTATTAATATATGTGGAACCAATACACCTGAAAAAGGCGAATGGACTGCAAATTAAATTTGATTATTTTGCCCAATCAGAATTAGCTTAAATGAAAAACTGAAACTACAGACGAAGCAACAAAAACAGCATTAAACCAGTTCAAACAAAAATGCACTCGGTTCAAGGATTTCAATTTCCTGCAACCATTTATTTTGTTTTGTTTGTTTATTTTGTTGTGTTTTCCAATTGTTCACCCTTCAAGACAGCAATGTAGGCATGCTGGGAAGACAAAGTGCAAAGGGCATCGCTCAGTTATCTGTTTAGATTTTACTACATTCTAAAATGTATGCTCCCATTTGGACAATTAAAGTAATTCAGTCTGTTCCGTACTGCAATAAAACTGACAGTATGAAATCTGGATATCATCACTGTCATAACTAAACCTTGTTTCTCAGAAATGCTGAGTTTATTAAATTCTTAACTTGTAGGTATGTTAATTAATATGACCATTTCTACCATAGACTGTATTTGTACTGGTCCATTTATCATGAAATATTCAGACAAAGCTGACATTTTCAAACTGTGTAATAAAAAAGTAAAAAGAGAGTTATGACAGCGACAATATGAAAAACAACAGGAAAAAGCAAAATTCTGAGTGTGCAGTTTACATGTATTTGGAATAAAACTCAAGAGAGGCAATACTCAACACTTGGAACACTCTCACACAAACAAAGTCGTGGGAAAACCCCATAGAGTCACATTTTTAAGTCTAAAGTAAATGCTGAGAGTGAAGAAGTTCCTAAAACATGGATAGACAGTGTTCCCTTCCCTGAGCTAAGGAATTATGAAAGAGTAGAATAGATTAGTTATAGCAAGCTATGATACTACATAGTAAATGGAAAAAAAAATATTAGTTCTTCAGTTGTTCAATTTAAGGGGTCCATCTTTGAGAATTGCATTTTGGTCCTACACTTCAGGCCTCATCAGTGCACTTTAGAGAATGAGCATAACGATGGGGGTCCATCTGTATACAATATTGCATACATTCATCTCTACCCATTTGCTTGCTCGAAGTGTGCATTTACCAATACAGCGAAACCTGCTGCCCTAATCAACTAGATCTAATGTCATTGATAACCGATTACAGTCTAAGATAAGAAGCAGATTCTACGGTTGTTCAGAGCAGCACGTTAACTGGAATGGATGTAGAGGTATTAGCCTCCCAGTGCGTCACTGAAAGCCTCTTCTGGAGCTGATTTACTCCTTTTTCTTTTTCAGAGCTGGACTGATATTCCAGTAATACAAGACCTGAGCAGCTATCAGTCCATTACAGCAGGAAGAGATGATGTACGTGAGAGCCATCAGAGAGTCACCTGTCTCCTGTAGAAACACACAGGAAAACAGAGAATGGACTGTTAGTCTATGTGCATAGATTAGTGTCTCTTTCAACAAATCTCTCTGTGCCACTCATAATCATGCTCAGACTGCATCTTAAATGTGATCTCCTTATCAGTGTGAAAGGGTGAATGTACCACTTTCCAACATTGCTACATTCTAGGCCTGATATACTGGGATATGCAAAAACAGTGAACTAACAGTTTTCCTGTGTTATGACTAGTTTACACTGTAAAAAACATTTTCTTAAGTGAAAAAATATATATATAGGTGACATGCAATGTTGAGATACACTGTCTTAGTACTTTGCACCTGAGCTTCTTCAATCTTTTTCTGGACATTTTTACTTTTTTAAAGAAAGAAATGCCTAAATCTCCCAGTGCAATGAATTAATTCCACTTGGTAAGCTTCCTTAAAGGGCCCAGTTTTTTTAAATAAAAGTGTTTGAATAAGTATGTAAACACTGTTAAAGTTTCAAAACTAACTATTCACTTCCCAGTGCACGCAGTCCATATATGGGAACTAAGCTGCAAAAACAGTCAGTTTTAAATTCACCATTTCTATGATGTCATGAAAACCAAATCATATGCAAATATTTGCCTATTCGGCCTACAGTGGTTTAGCCTCGACATTTACGCTGTTATAACGAGTGTTTCAGCCCATATCTCTTTTTGAATAAGGCACAATACAGGAGAGCCAATCAGGACAAAAATCACTTACATAAATCTGTCTTAAAGACACAGTAACAAAAACAGCCTGTTTAATACTAAGGAATAAAGAGAGGTTGGACAGTGATCATGTAATTATGACTGTTTTGGGTAAATAAAACCATACAAATGTCTTAAGAGGACTTCAGGGGAGGTAATAAAGTACAAAATGTAGGACATGGGCCCCTTAAAAAGTAAGACTGTCTAGATATAGGTTGAGTAATGTGCTAAGCACTAGCTAAGAATAGCTCATACTGTTAAGAACTGGATACACTGCCTACATTCAAGGTATTTTCACTTGCTAATATATATTTTTGCAGGGTAAATAAGATGTTGTATCTCCTGTTTAAAGTTCTGTAAGCGTACCTGCACTGTGGTGAATATGCGTGCCAGGGAGCCGGCGAACAGAAGAAACACAGAAATGGCTGACAGCTGTCCTGTGTGACCGTTGCTGTAGTTTGTGCCAGCTTGAATGAGCTTGAAACAAGAGAATAGAAAGAAAAGGTGAGTTAACTCCTTTATTCGATTCACTCTTTAATGAAGTTAGGTTTTCAATGAGTTCAGGCAGTCTATAGCTATTATTCAGATACCCGTCCAAAGATGATAGCTGGCATGTTGGAGGCTTGCATGGCGGTAACAACAGACATAGGAGTGAGAGGAGATATGAGGACAGCCAAGAGGCCAAAGTAGATTACGAGAAAGCTCAATCCTGCAAAAAAAAAACAAAAAAAACATAAAATTATTGGAGCTAATATATGCAAATGAAAAGCCTACAAAAAGACAAATCTTTATATCTTATTGATACATCTTTAATCTGTGCAACTGGTCCCTTTTGCAAATCCATCTAGTTAACTTTGTCAAAACTTGTATGGCTTGTATGTTCCTTTCTGTACCTTTGATGGTGCATCCTGCATAATGCTGAATCAGGAACCCAATAGCCACTGTCTGCAACATCAGGAATAAGGCCTCACCCCAGGCACTGTGGATTAGAAATGTAATGAATGCTTACAGTAATTTAGTCCCTGTGAATTTTACATTCAGATTTTCTGGAACAAAAGTGTGGAAATGTGCTGCTAAGTAGATGCCCCAGGAATGAATGAAAGTGGATGCTGCTTCCTCAGTGTAGGTACATATAATAAACAAAAGTGCTTTGCTGATGCATAACATACAGGTCTACCTGAAGGGGAAGCTGTTGGCGATGCTGTAGGCCATAGTGCCTGTGATTGCAAACAGCTCCAGCAGCACAGAATTGAAACTCAGGCCTTCAGCACTCTTTGCACCAATGAGCTTCAAGATCTGAGGCAGCTTTACTGTGAAGAGCAAAATGAAAATGAACCATAAAGAATGCAGAAACTTCTGGTAAGAGAAGGCAAAACATAGCCAAGGTTGTAAACAGTAGCTTTTCCTTACCCAGTACAGAGCCAAGGATGATTCCAATGCCCAGACCTTTGCTTATAATTATCTTCAGACAGTCCACTGTGGGGAGACATAAAACAACCATCAGACACCAAACTTCTAGTTCTGATGGGGTCTTGACTATATATCCAAACCAAGGGTATTAATAAGGAGTTTGTCCTCCCTTTGCTGGAATAACAGCCTCTAATTGTCTGTGATGGCTTTACACTAGATATTGGATCATTGTTGTTAGGATGTGATTGCATTCATTCAAAGCATTAGTGAGGTCAGGTACTTGGGCTGTCAGGGTCAATTAATTAATTAGCTGACAATTAATTGTCATATAAATAATTGCTTACTAATTGTTTGTAACTATTAAAATACAAACCTAAAGTGCCCAAACTGGCTGATTAGCTACCTTACTTGATAGCTGTGTTTACTTAGTAGATAACATTGGTTATACTGTTGAATCAATACTGTGCGCGCACTGTTCTGCGCACTCATTCTGCCAGCAAACATACTAAATACATTATAATTAGCTACATATTTACATAGCTAAATAAAGAAACATTACTCAGCAGTGCCCTCTAAATGTTAGAGCACCAAGTTAGAAATTACAACCATTTTGTTTTTTGCTCTCTTTTATTACATTTATTTGCTTCAATTCACCAAAATTAATTCACATTTTGTTTATTGCAGTAAAATAATGACTGTGAAAAAAATGATTGCAGTCAGCTTAAATAATTGCGATTATCTCAAACAACTAAGATTAGGTGAGTACGTTATATTTGGACGGAGCTCCATCACTCGAGAGAACACAGTTCCACTGCTCCACTGCCCAGTGCTGGGGGGGCTTTATACCCCTCCAGCCAACACTTGGCACTGAGTATGGTGACCTTAGGCTCATGTGCAGCTGCTCCAGAGCTTCCCATTCTATTGGGTGTACCTTAAAGCAGCCGAACTCACTAATTAGAAGGGACGTCTGGATACGTTGGTAGAACGAAATTTGCTTTCGGCCACGTTTACGAAAACAGCCGAAGATAAACGAAGAGTTCTCCAATGAAAATGTGCCCTGTGTAAAACCACGCCCCTAACATACAGAGGCTAAACACAGAAGGTAAATAATCCCTTACATGTGTGCTTCAGTTTAATAAAGGAACAGTTTACCCAAGTATGAACTAATATAAAATGAATGTTACTATAACCAGGATAAATCCTTCTTTGTGTCCTTGAGGGCTGAGAATGACAGGTCCTGACAGGTCGCAGCAAAAGAACAGCTGAAGTTAGCCAGCGATGAAACCAGCATATTTATTTCCTCTTTAATACCGAATTAACGAGTCACATTTCACTCAGCTCTTCGTGACCATGTCCCGAATCGGCTGACACTGACAGGTTTTCACCTCCGTATCAGCCGCTTGAGAGAGTTTCTCTGTCTCCCTCCGCTCAGAGTTCAGAGACACCGACAACTCAACACAACATCTCAGAGTCTCGGTCTCCTTTAAGACATAAATAACCCCTCTTACCGTGCAGGAAGTTAAAGTTCAGGAAAAATTCGTCGTAACATTTTTCTGGCATTAAATAATTCACCAGAAAGTCTTTAAAGGGATCCATAAAGGAGGTAGCAGCTTCAGCTCCCTCGGACGCCGCCATTGTACCGAATGCGCAGGCGTGACGTCACACGGTGTGTTCGCCAGTTAAAACCTTCCGTGTGTTTGGAGACGAGAAGAGCTCAGTACTGACCTTACACTGGGCTTCTGCATTATATATATGTATATATATATATATATATATATATATATATATATATATATATATATATAAATATTAGATCAAAACATATTGAAATAGTGTTCATTGTAAGTGCTTATGTCTTTTTTTTTTTTTAGAAATATGTCTGTCCCACATGTCCTTACCACAACACTTACTAACTAACTTACTTTTAATGGAAACATAAATTAGACAACGAGCACATGCACAGTTGTGGTCTAGGTGTTTCTGAATTTAAAAAAAATTGCTCCATCGCCTTACCATATAGCTTTAAAGTAAAGTATTTTATTATACTTAATATACAGTTTGATATACTAGCTATATATATTAGCTATCTGCTAAGGCTAATGTAACAGGCTATTGTGTTTACTATTTATGCCCCAAAACAGTGAAAAGGTCTTTATCATGGTAAAGACATTTTCAGTTTTTTTTAACTGTCTGTAGTGACAGAAACACTCATTACTGGTTGAAGAAAACACCTGAAAACAACGTGTTCGTGTGCAGAATGATTGTCAGGAACAATTGCTGGGATTGGAAAGATCAGTACTTGGAAATCCACTCCAGATTAATTTAAAGTGTAATTATTTATATATTTGGTCTAGGTTGCATTTCTTTGTCAGAAATCCTACATCAATATGTTCTGCATTATAATGTAGTTCATAAAAAATAAAACTTTCAGCAAGTCAGAATGACAGTGTAATGTGCACTTCTATTTATTGTACAATGATTATACTGAATACAAAAGCTCATTTACATGATAACCAACATATGTAAAAAAATATCAGTGCAAGATATATATTAAGGATTCTGTAAATCTGTTCTGATCAAAGTGAACGACGTATTTAACAACATGTGCAATACAGGTTTTAAAAAACAAGTAATTTTTCAGGAATGTTTATAGGATTCCAGTAAGAATGTTATAGTAAAGTCAGACAATTTCCGTAGTTTACAACAGGATACTGCACAAATATTATAGACAGCACTACATGAATAATATATGAAGATGATAGACTGTTATAGAAATATTATACAGAAATATTATACAATGCTATAGAACTTTTATAGATCCTTAGATCATTTTGTATCATTTTCCTGTATAATCATTAAGAGAGAAGATAGAATATAATATGATCAATAAACAGAAAAAAACTGTAATTTGCAGTTGAACAGATGTCTTATGATGTTCATTCTCTTGCATTTGTTAATTTTGCTCAGTTTTCAGCAAATACAGACATTTGTGGCATGTGGATTTTCAGCATAGCGTTCCCATCTCGACACATGAGCACAGGGAAGAGCGCTTCCCCAAATATCTGTGTAAATGTGTAAAGGTGGAGCCTGCTCTGAGCATCGTAGAAGGACACCTGTCCCTCCTCATAGTCCACATAGACTCCAACCACCTGAGGCTGTAGAGATACCTGCAGCTTGGTATAAGGGTCTGTGCAGGCCCACAGATTCTTGGGCCCATTATAAATAGTCCAATAGCCTGTTGCTGGAGTTATCTGGAACTTGCCTTTTCTGGGAGCGGATGCAGACGTCACCCCTAACCTCCAGCATCCGTTTGTTGGTACCAGTATTTCCCAGTAATGCCTTCCATTAGAGAAGCCATTGAGCCCAAGAATGCAGGACAGTTCGTCGAACTGTTGATGCTTGTCCTGTTGGTAGTGTGGCCTGTGCCGCTCACACATTTCCCGTTTGTCTTCAGACACACACAACCAAGGAGGGCAGGAGCTGGAATCTAGATGGACGTCAGCTGATGCAACACATTAAGAGATATTGTTGATTCTTACTGGATTAACATGTACTAATGTATATGTGCTGTATGTACATAATTTGTTTGTTTATTACCTGATGCACTCTGGATCCACTGCCAAACTTTATGAAAGAAATTATGGGTCATTATGAGTCATTATTTAAATCTGTTTTATATCAATAATCTTCATGTTGTATGCATGCATCAGTATTATTATCATAGTATGATTCTTTCCTACCTGAATTTGGAATATATTTCTTGCTGACTAAGGGCACAAAACAAGCACCAACAGTCAGGAGATTTAGGCGTACTCAGTGAAAATCCATCAATAATGTTAATGTAAACACAGTGAAAGCTCTTACCTGTTCTCCATCGTCTCTGCTTGGCTGACAACCAAATTTTTGAAATGTGCTCCTGAGTAAGAAAGTACAAAAATGAGGGAGTAGCCTAAACCCACACTCAAGTGAAAGTGTTGTTACGTTGGTGAAATAATGACTCAAGTAAAAATATATGTACTTTTCCAAAAAACAACTTGAGTAGGAGTGACACATAAAACCGCATATATCAGCAGAGAAACTGAAATTTGCTATACACTATTTTTGCCTTTTTGACTTTGATGTAAAATAAAATGCTAAAGCTCCAAGTTAAGAGGACATGAAGCAGTACAGAAGCTGTACTCAACAAAGTATAATGCAGTTATGTCATAAAAAAGGAATTCAGAACTAAATGATAATTACTAAAACTGAGTTGATGAGTGTAATAAATTCAGTCCTTGTGCTAACACTCAACAACCATAGGCCTCTCTAGGCAGCTGGCTGAGGATCTGAAAATAAAGGCATCTGATGCCTACAAAGCAGAGAAAGGCTATAAAAAGGTTACAAAGTGCTTCCGTCTCACAATTTCCACTGTTTAAAATGTCATTAAAATGACAATTAAGGGGTACTGTGGAAGTTAAGACAAGATCTGGAAGTCCAAGAAAACTCTCCAATAGAACTGCCTGTATGCTGGCCTGAAAGGCAAAGCAAAATCCCCATATGACAGGAAAGGACCTGCAGGAAGGTTTAGCTGACACAAGAGTGGTGGTGCATCATGCTGTTGTGCAGCGCTGCTTACACAAACATGATCTCCATGGAAGAGTCATCAGAAGGAAACTTCACAAAAGTCAATGTCTGAAGTATGGAAAACAAAAGGAAAGGAATTTTGGAAAACAGGTGCTGTGGACTGAGGAAGTAGAAAAGGGATTCTTTGGCCAGAATCACTAAAGTTATATATGTAGAAAAAAGGAGCAACATTTAATGAAAATAACATCTTGCTAACTGTTAAGCATGGAGGTGAATCTGTTATGCCTCAGGGGGTTATATGGCAGCCAATGATACAGGGAGCTGTACGGGTAGATGGAAGAATAGATTCCACTAAATATCAGCAAATTCTGGAAGCTCGTTCTGAAAACTGGCGGGCAACAGGACAATGATCCAAAACATACTTCAAAAATCACCATGAACTACTTCAAGAAACGCAAGCTGAAGCTTTTGGAATGGCCCTCACTGTCCCTGTTCTCAAACATCATTGAACATCTGTAGGTAGATCTTGAATATACTGTGCTTGCAAGAGAGCCCAAGAATATTGGAGAACTCGAAGTGTTCTGCAAGAAAAAATAAAAATAGAAAGACTCCTAGCTGGCTACGAAAAAACGTTTGTAAGCCTGATATCTGCCAAAGGGAGTGTTACTAAGAACTGACATAGTGGGATCTCCAAACTTTTGCTCAAGTCACAAATACTATTTCATTTTTTCAATTTTTTTAAGTTAATCAAACACAAAGTCACATCATGTGCATAATGTGCTTTAAAATATGCAGAAAAATGTCTTCTCTTCTTACCTCAGACTGTTGGGACAGAAGAGACCATACCACAAACTCCAAGAAGGGGAGAAGTCCAACTAGCTTCAGCTGCTCCATGCTGTGATTATTAAGGATCTGCTTTAAGTCATCATCTGTTACACCCAGACTCTGTATGTACAACATACATGCACATTCAGATCGGACAGTCAAGAACAGTTCAGGTGGTATTATTTTACCAATTAATTTGTAGTTTTATCTAACCTTTGAGACACTCTGTAGTTCTCTTGCCCACTTCATGATCATCTCACTGTCCTTTGAGCTGTCAGGCTCTTCTTTATTCTTCACTTTGTGTGCAACCTCTTCTCGAACTGATCCTCTTTTTGTCACTCCTTTTGAGAGGTTGAGGCTGTTCAGTTCTTTAGCCCAAGACAGAATTAGGCTCTTGCTATGATCCACACCATCAGGCTTGGTGGATTTACCCAGTGCATTCTTGTCTTTTACCTCCGTACTTCTCTTCCTGGCCTGAAGGTAATAAAGTGTATACATCAGTGCATTTCCTCTTGCCTGATCTCTTTATTGTGGTCTAACTTAATACTGCATTAATGTCTGCATACTCTCTAAATTTGTTAAAGGACAGATGGAAATGAAATGCCAAATACCTTGCTAATATCTTCTGTCTCCTTGGCCATGTCTGTGAGAAACCGAACACACTCTTCCAGGGTTTGAATTGGCTTGAGGTCAGGCTACAACAGAAAGAAAGTTCATTTTAACAAAAAAAAATTTACCATCATGTTGCTGTATTCTGGAACTTAGATGGTTCTCAGTTTATAGAGATACAATGCAACCATGACTGTTTTGAATATACACACTTTCCCCCTACATTCACGCCAAATGTAGCTGAGTTTCATCTTCCCCCTTTACTCCAAATGTAGCCAAGACATGCTTGCACAGTGCAAAACTACAAAAACAAACTTCAGCCACCAAACATGTCTTGACTGATAAAAAAGTACAATGAACAGCTAAAAACAGTAGGGGTCCATCTGAAGGCTGATTTTGTCTGTACTTTGCCCACTTTTAAGGATAACAGTATGCCACACAGTATCAGAAACCCTATAAGTAAGTCTATTTTTTGATGATGTCACAATTCAACATAGTTTGAGGCAAGTGGGTGACAATTTAGAGATGCAGTTTGCCCAACACTTACTGGTGAGATGTAAGCTTCCACTACATTATAAGATTCAATCAAGAATATTCCTGGTGTCCTATTTGTCAGCTTCTTAGTTGAATTTTCCGTTCCACCTTAAATGGTGCAGCAGTCACAGCACCATTTAAGGTGG